CCCCTCCACACAACTGTAGACAGTTCACGGAGCTCTCTCCGCCCCCTCGCCGCCCCGCCCTCTGGGCCTGGGGGCTCTGATGTCTCTGCTGCTACTTCAGGGGCTCGCTCTGCCCTGGGACGGTTGGCTGAGTTCCTGGAGTGTTGGGGGTCAGCCAGCTGTGGCCAAAGCCTTTTAGTTCCAGGCTTTCCCTCCCGTGTCCTTGGTCACGAACTGCTCTTTGACTCCATCCGATTGAGCGGCACGAACTCTGTGACCCACCCCTGCTGGCTCCTGAGCGACCTTGCTGTGTAACCGAGAGACTCGAAGCACAGAGGATGGAGTCCAGCGCTTTGAATGCTTTATTAGGGTTGTCCAGATCATATCGTTCACACATCCTGGTTCCTTTTCTACCTGGCTCGTATCGTGGTGCACTATTTCCTGTTTCCTATGCAAATCAATCAGTTGTCTCTGTGTTTATCAACCGCTTGGGTTAGAGGGGAACACAAGGGTTAGGGGGGAAAGGAAAGGATGTTTCAGTGTAGTATCCATCAAAACTAGAGATTCTTAGGTTTTCTGCTGTTGTAATCTTCTGTTGAGCAGCTGGTGTGTTTACTGAGGGAACACACCCAATCAGGAGCCTCACCCAGAATTGAGTGTGAAAAGCCCAACCCTCAAATCCTGGGCCCAGAAGTCACATTAGATTTTCCTGGGGTCTCACACCGGTCAGACTCAAGCAGTCTCCAGGTGTGACTGGGTCCAGACATTTTAAAACAGTCCTCAGTTGGGGATTATGTGTTTGTTGCCTGGGATAAGAACCGTTTTTTGCAGGCTAGATTGTTAGACCACGCCCTTTGGCTGGGTGGGAGGGTTAAAGCAACATTTTGTTTTGTGGCTAGAAGGCAAAGGAAAAAGGTCATTCATTGTTAGGCTTGGGGTCTTAGAGATGCTTCTGCCTCAAAGCTACCATTTCCTGTGACTGGAGCTTGCTTGCGTGTGTATCTGCTGCGTGCACTCTGCAAATGTTTGCCTTGTCCTGGGCAATCCATGCAGGATTGTAAACAAGCTCTTTTTCAGGGACACCCAAGGCTTTAATCAACTCTCTCCCCAAGAGCCATTGTCCCCTGAGGGGAGGGAACCATGACTACTTCCAGGATCATCCGGGAGTCCCAACCCCGACCTTTAGACATGTTTCAGAAATGGCTTGGGACCCAGCAATCAGTAGTCTGACAAACACTCAGACTCTGAGACAGCTCTGAAACCAGTCCTGGCTGTGAGCTACGGGACAGGAAGGAGGCTTCAGCCTTAGCTCTAATTAGACCGGCAACTGTGCCTGTCTCTTCCCAGCAAACCCTCACCATAGGGCTTTGTCCCATGGCACTATGACCTTCCCTCTCTGCTTTTACTCTGTACCCGATTTTCCAGTTAGTAATGGGGAGCAATAGCTTCAGACCTCCCCACAGTTTTCATTCCTAAGTCTCTGAGCTCCGGGTTCAGTGTGCGCATCGGGGGCCTCTGTCCCCCCAGCTCCTCTTGCTTTTGATATCTGAGTTCACTGGCCCGCTCTTTCCTGTTACCTGCCTCTCTCCTGAGGTTTCAGTTTGTTGGGCCGTAGTTGCCCACGTTAGGGTTATTGTAATCATTAAGCTCCCGGACAGGAAACATGATAGATGTTACTTTCTGTTATTTCCTTAGACAGACAGCCCGCCTTGTGGCTGACCGGTGTACTGAAATGAGGGCTAAGATTAAAAACCTGTAAGAAGGGCTGGAGGGATGGCACAGGCTGCTCTTCCAGAGGACCTGAGTTCGAGTCCCAGCAACCACATGTTGGCTTGCCTACTACCATTTATACTGAGGTCTGGGGCCCTCCTCTTCTGCCCTTCAGGGATGCATGCAGACAGAACACTGTATGCATACCAAATAAACCTTAAAAACAAACAAACAAACAAACACCTGTAAAAAGCAGCTGAGGGGTGCATGGAGCCTGTGGGAAAACAGCAGGGCCCCTGGGAATGGGGTGCCAGCCACATGCTGACTAGGCAGATGCAACAGGCAAGCTGGGTTTGGAGATAAGGAAGGAAAAGTAAAACTGGACCCACCAGAAGCACAGCCTCCAGGCCAGCTCAACCCTTCCTTTAGACATCCATGCCTTGAGTGGACTCCAAGCAGAGGGAGGGCCCCACAGGCTCTGTGGTCAGGGTGTCTGGGCTGGACCCAAAGGAAAGCAAGGATTCTTTGACTAACAGTTGTCAATCTGAGTCAGGGGGTGGAACCTGTTTGTCCGTGGCAGTGTTTGAGCAGGTGACATGACCCGCTGAGCCACTGCACTGGCCCGGGCAGTGTTTCAGATATGTGGCAACCAGAAGCTTAATGGGAACGGCTGTGGGAACAGTGAAGTAAGGTTAGGACACTCTACACCTCTGGCAGAGCTGTAACTGTGTGTGGGAGGGTTGGGGAAGGGATTGATTACCTTCAGCGGCTTAGCAGCCTCCTCAGATCTTCTCTGTGGCTTCTGGTGATAAATAAGGCGGAGGTTCTGCCCAGCTGCAAGGGTTCTTGGCCGGTAGAGGCTGGTGGGAGCAGTTATCTGAAACCACAGAGCAGAAGCCCTAAGTTAGCAGAGCCAAGGTCAGCCTTATCAAGGAGCACCAGAAATTCCCTGGAAGGCAAGGTTAGCAGCGGAGAAAGTGAGGGAAGGGCCTGTCTGGGAAAAAACGGCAACGATGGAGGCAGGCCTTCAGGAGCCGGGCATCATTCCTCAGGAGCCGGGCATCATTCCTCAGGAGCTGTCCCTGAGTCGGGACTACTCAAGTAGCTACCTGACTGCTGAGCTCTAGGCCTGTGTGCCCTTCTCCAGGGCTGGGAGGGTAAACAAGCTACCGGGCGTAGCTTTTTTTTTTTTTTTTTTAATGTATGTTCTGGGGATTGAACTCAGGTTGTCATGATGGCAAGGCATGCACCTTACTGATTGAGCTGTTATCTCCAGCCCACATGAATGACTTCTCAAGACTAATTCTGTCTTATTTTTGTTTGTTTTCCTGTTTTTGAGACAAGGTTTCGTGCAGCCCTGGCTGCTATAGAACTCAGCTCTGTAGATCAGGCTGGCCTCAGATTCAAAGAGATCCGCCTGCCTCTGCCTCCCCAGTGCTGGGATTAAAAGCGTACACCACCACTGCCTGGTCCCAAACTCATGGTGATCTGCATGCCTCTGCCTCAGAATTAAAAATGATTTCCTCCTGTGAAAACCCACCCGTTTCAAGAAAGTCATTTTGCATTTCCGTTTACCAGGGATAAGCAGCTGAAAAATAGTAGTGGAGCAGGTAATATTTAATATTTAGACATGAAGGACAACTTTTTTTTTCTCTCTGTGGTTTTGGAGGCTGTGCTAGAACTAGCTCTGTAGACCAGGCTGCTCTTGAACTCACAGAGCTCTTACTCCTGAGTGCTGGGGTTAAAGGCGTGCTCCACCACAGCCTGACTGAAGGACAACTATTAAAGGGAAAATTTTAATAAAAAATAAAGATTGGAATTATCCCTGGATAAACTAGCTGCATTTTTCTGTCCCAGAACCAGATATTTTAACTCAGTCATGATGCAGGTAGTATGTAGTATCCTTTATAGAGGTAACAGAATTATGTGCTGTTTTACAGAAATTGAGACTCTGAGTAATGTTTGTATAAAAGTAGCTAAGCACATTAAGGATCTTTGGAATAGGAGTAAGCCAACATTATAGTGAATCATTGTGTTAATATTTTATGTTGTAAAGGACACATAAATTATCACCGTTGGTTTCAAAACACAATAGAGAGTCTAAGAGTGAACTGGTGTGGGTGCTAGGAACCGAACTCGGGTCCTCCGGAAGGGCGTTGAGGGCGCTTGACCATTAGACCACCTGCAGGCCTCTTGGTGATGTTTGCTCCTCAGTGCAAGGTGGCTTCTGAGCACGTTGTTTCCCATTCCCGTGCCAGATCTTCTCTGCTTCACAGCTCTGTGCGTGCAAAAGAGGTATTGTGACACTTCGGGTCCGATAGTTTGTGTGCAGCGTAAGGAATTATGCACCCTCCTGGTTTAGCTGTTTGGTAAATATGTCATTATTGCTCTCATAATCATTATTTTACTTACTAATACATTTTTTTTTTTTTTTTTTAAAGTCAGGGTCTGTTTGTGGCACTGGCTGGCCTGGAACTCGCCAGGTAGATCAGGCTGGCTTCAAACTCACAAAGAGTCTCCCCTCTATGGCTCTCAAGATCTGGGTTTAAAATCATGTGCCCCCCCACACTCTTCCTCCCTCCCTCCTTCCCTCCCTCTCTGTGTCTGTCTTTTTTTAATTCTGAGGCAGAGATATGCAGATCACCGTGAGTTTGGGACCATTGTGGTCTGGTATCAAGTGTCAGGCCACCTGATATTAAATAGTGAGACCTTTTTGTTTAAGTAAATGTTTGCGTGTGTGCAATCAAACTGAGGTCATCAGGTTTGTTGGCAAACCTTTGTTTACCTTTACCCATTGTGCCGTCTGGCTGGACCAGTGTGCCTTTGAAAATTGTGTTCTTTCTGCAGCATTGATTAACCTGTGTTAATTACTGAAGGATACATCTTGGATCTTTGCTGAGTGAAAGTTTGATGTAAATACCTTACTCATGCTAAGCAGGTGCTCTACGTCTGAAATCCACTCTTAAAATTCACTTCTTTTTAGGCTAGCATATGAATTAATGGATTTGTCTTTGAGAGGTTCTCTGTGTAACAGCCCTTGCTGTCCTGGAACTTGCTTTGTAGACCAGGCTGGCCTCAGACTCACAGAGATCCATCTGCCTCTGCCTCCCAAGTGCTGGGATTAAAGGTGTGCGCCCCTACTGCCCGGCAGTAACGGGTTTCATTATGGCATTTTCATACATCCACACCATCTCACTCGTGCGTGCGCGTGTGCGTGCGTGTGTGTGTGTGTGTGTGTCTGTCTGTCTGTGACTGTCTTCTTTTTGTTTCTCTGGGGAAGTGTAAACAATGAGTGTTCTTCTTTTTTCCAGGAACCTTTGCAAATACTCTCACAATGTTCTCTCGGAACAGAACTTCCAGGTCTTGAAGAATCATGAGCTCTCTGGCCTTAACCAAGAGGAGCTGGCTGTGCTTCTGGTCCAGAGCGACCCTTTCTTCTTGCCTGAGGTAGGTCCCGATGCCCAGTCTTAGCAGCAGGCAAGTGTATGAACAAGCCAGGCCTGGTGATGCACACCTTTAATCCCTGCAACCTTGGGAAGCAGAGGCAGACAGATCTGTGTGAGTTTGAGACTAGCTTTGTCTACATAGCAAGTTCCCAGCCAGTCAAGGCTACCTGGGGAGACCCTGTCTCAACAGGTTTGGGTCCAGATCCCCCCTACACTAGGGTTCCAGGGATTCCATTGTGGACAAGGATGGGTTGGAGATGTAGCTGTAGTCAGATTGGTTGATGCATTATTACATCAGGGTGGCCTTTGAATTGAAGCTGGGAAGAGGACTAGAAAGATAGAGGGACGTGTTACATTGCTGTACTATAGCCCAGAGGCCAAACCTGTGCTGCTGCCAGTCTACAAATAAAGGTCTACAGAAACACAGCCAGCCATGCTGACGTGTTTACAGATTGTTGCTGCTCCCCCCCCCCCCCCCCAGGGCTCAGTTGAGAAGTTACAACGGAGACTCAATGGCCAGAAGAGTCTAAAATGTTTGCTGTCTGGACTGTTAAAGGAGTGTGCTGCCTCTGGGTTTTGCCCGAATACGGGCAGGTAGATCCGCAGTGTGGTGGGTGGAGGGATCCAGCTATACTGTCTTCTAGGGACTCAACAGTAGGTGATTAGCTCTCGTCTTAAGAACGTGGCGTCCGTCTCTCAGTACAGGGATTTCTCACTTGTCACCAGTGTTCAGTCAGTGGGATTGCCGATGGGAAGTCAAAGGCAGTGTGTAGTTTAAAAAAAAAAAAAAAAGAAGAACTGGATGCAGCGTGTAGCATGCTCATCTGCTTACGTCTCATTGGCCAGCGCTTACCATGCGGTTGTTTTAGCTGAAAGAGAGGACTTATGGTCCGGACACCACATCTGGGAACTGTGCTCTAGACTCAGATCTGCAGCAGTCACACTCACTCATCTGGTATTCGAGGCTACCAGTGTGTGACTCAACTCCATCACTGTTCTGGAGTCAGTCTCTATCTCCACATCCAGACTTCTCCCAGGGAGCCAGGTAGACACAGTTTCCACAGCCGGTTAGGCCAAACAAACATTTCCACCTTTCAGATGTCTGCAAGTTCTTGTTTGTCCCGAATCATTCTGGGCTCCTCATCTAAAGGCTCAAATACTCGCCTGCACTCCTTATTTGTACAGTACTGTCTTCTGTTTTGTCATTTACTTTGCTACACAGCAGGTTTTAGGCAGGCAAGCAGAACAACTGTTTTCCTTCTGCTGTTGTAAAGGAAACAAACTGGGGTATTGCTGGGTCCTTGAGGTCCTTTAAACCAGCCCTGCAGTCACTGGCCCGATCTCCTTTTTGGGTGGGGGAGCATTGAGACAGGGTTTCTCTGTGAAACTGTCCTAGCTGTCCTGGAATTCCCTCTGTAAAGCAGGCTGGCCTCGAACTCAGAGATCCACCTGCCTCTGCTTCCCAAGTTCTGGGACTGAAGGTGTGCGCCACCACCGCCTGGCCCTGATCTCTGCCGCCACCACCGCCTGGCCCTGATCTCTGCCGCCACCACCGCCTGGCCCTGATCTCTGCCGTTAGTGGGAACTGCATTTCTGTAGAGCTGTGTGTGCAAATGTATTTGTTTAGAGCAGCGGCTATCAGCCTTCCTAAGGCTTGCAACCCTTTAATAAGTCCCTCATGCTGTGGTGACCTCAAACATAAAGCTATTTTGTTGCTACTTCACGACTGTAATCTTGCACTGTTTTAAATAATAATGTAAATATGTGATATTCCATCCCCAAAAACGCGGCGACCCACAGGTTGAGAACCATTGTTTTGGCTGGACTGGTTTCCTTACTGAGCAGGTTATGGTGCTGCGAGCCTGCAGTCCCAGCACTTGGGGGTGTCAGAGGAGGAGAACTGTGAGTTGAAATCTAGCCTGTGCTACGTAATGCAGCCTTATCTCAGAAAACTGAAAACAAGACCGGGCGCGGTGATGGGAGCCTTCAATCCCAGCTAACAAGACAAAATGGGCAAGGGCTGGTGCACCTTTAATCCCAGTACCTGGCAGGCAGAGGCAGGTGAAAGTTCCAGGCCAACCAGAGCTATAGTGAGAGCTGCCTCCATCCCCTCTGCCTGTCTCCATCTCCTCTGTCTGTCTGTCTGCCTCCATCCCCTCTGCCTGTCTCCATCTCCTCCGTCCCCTCTGTCTGTCTGTCTGTCTGTCTGCCTCCATCCCCTCTGCCTGCCTCCATCCCCTCTGCCTGTCTCCATCTCCTCCGTCCCCATCTCCTCTGTCTGTCTGTCTGTCTGTCTCCATCCCCTCTGCCTGTCTCCATCTCCTCTGTCTGTCTGTCTGTCTGTCTGTCTGTCTGTCTGTCTGTCTGCCTCCATCTCCTCTGCCTGTCTCCATCCCCTCTGTTTGTCTCCATCCCTTCTGCCTGTCTCCATCTCCTCCGTCCCCATCTCCTCTGTCTCTGTCCCCTCTGTTTCCATCACCTCTGCCTCTTCTTCCCACTACCCTACCCCCTCATATTCAAATCACTTGAAAAAGTCCTGCTCTGACCACCAGAGACCAAATGTCAAAATCGGAAAGTTGCCGGTGAGATACACATATCTTTTCAACTGTAGAGTACGTCAGGACCCACACTAGACTTCCTCCTTTATGACGTCCTGTGCCTAGGTTGCTGTTTGAATTTGGTTCTTCCAAGAATTACCAAATCCACTTTTCCCCTTATGCTTCTGCTCTTTTAAATGGGAGGTTTTGCGCTGAGCTTGGTGCTTGCTTCTCTTTGCCTGGGCCCCCCGAGAGCCGGGTTACAGGTATGCACCACCACACACAATGTCATCTGTTACCTGGCCTGGACATCCTCACCTGTCCCCAAATAAGTCACCGGCCCAGTCATCTCCTCCGAGAGGCGGGCTGTGCGTGCCCTGTTTCCTCGTGGTACACCTCTGCTTTTTACAGGAAGGGGGCTCACGCATTGAACCAGCCTCTGTTCTCCCTCTGTAGATATGCAAAAGTTACAAAGGAGAGGGCCGGAAACAGATATGCGGGCAGCCACAACCGTGCGAGAGACTCCACATCTGCGAGCACTTCACCCGGGGGAACTGCAGTTACCTCAACTGCCTCAGGTCTCACAACCTGATGGACAGAAGGGCTCTGGCCATCATGAAGGAGCACGGGCTGAGCTCTGACGTGGTCCAGAACATCCAGGACATCTGCAACAACAAGCACTCTCGGAGGAACCCCCCTGCCATAAGAGGTACCCTTCTACTTTTTTCAAATAAACAAGTTACAAGGAAAGAAATCTACCTGTAAAACCTCGGTTTCGCTACACAGAGACCTTAGTTTCCCGCCCACACCTTTTCCACAAGCAAAACCACGATGATACAATCGAAATAATGATTTACAAGTAGCCGTAGCCCCTGATGTTTGTGTGCGTGTGCCTTTAGTACCAGCACTTGGTGAGTTCGACACCAACCTGGTCTACAAGAGCTAGTTCCAGGACAGCCTCTAAAACCATAGAGAAACCCTGTCACGAAAAACCAAACCAAAACAAACCAAAATACAAAACCCAGCACTTGGAAGACAGAGGCAGGCAGATTTCTGTGATTTCAAGGCCGGTCTGGTCTACTTATTGAGTTCCAGGACAGCCTGGACTACATAAAGAGATCTTGTTTAAAAAGAAAACAGTTTAAACAAAATGTTTACTTTTTTCCTTGAAGCTTTTTTTTTTTTTTTTTTTTTTTTTTTAAATGGGAATGAAACAAGCATCTTTTAGACTCGGTAGCAGTTTACTTTGTTTTAGTTGTCTAGTCTTTTCCTCTGAACACTATGCACACATGATTTTTTAATTGCAATTATTTATTTACCCTGGAAGTCAGGGTAATTTTCAGGGCTCAATTCTCCTTCCGTCTTGTGAGTCCTGGGGAGCGAACTCAGGTTGGTGACTGAGAGCCATCTTGCCAGCCACACACACACTGGTGTGTTTATTTATAATTTTGAGGCAGAATCTCACTATGTAGTACTAGCTGAACAGGACCTCACTGTGTAAATCAGGCTGACCTCAAACTCACAGAGATCCGACTGCCTGGCTCCTAAGTGCTGGGCTGAAAGGTGGGAGCCACCACACATGACATTTTGTGGTTAAAATATCTGGTGTATGGATTGACCTATTGTGATATTTTATGTCTGTCAACACATTCTCTGAAACTGTTCTCATACATAACAACAAATAGCATATATTTTTAGATTTACTTTATTTTAAAAAGTACGTGTATGTGATGTGTGTGGCAGTTGGCATAGATAGGTGTATGCATTTGAGTGAGTGCAGGTTCCTCCAGAGGCCAAGACATCAGCTCTCTCCAGAGCTGGAGTTGTAGGCAATTGTGAGTAGCCTAACATGACTTTGTCTCCCATCCAAGTACTAACCAGGCCCGGCCCTGCTTAGCCTCCGAGATCAGACGAGATGGGCTGAGTTCAGGGTGGTATGGCCGTAGACCCAACATGGCTTTGTAATAGCAGCAAGCACTTTCCGGCGATTATCCACCTCCCTGGCCCTTTCATTTTCTGAGGCCGCGTAATGTCCACCCACACTATGCCGTTTGTTGATGGACACTTGGTTTGTTTCTACGTAGTAGCCACCGTGGGAGGAATGGCACCCTGAATGTGGGCACTCAGCTATTTCCTTGATGCCCTGCTTCCAGTTCTTTTAGGAGGGTATCCAGAAGCTCCGTTTCCAAATCACGTTCTAAATGTGTCCGTTGTTTTGAAGAGCCGCCAAGCTGTTTCCCAGCCATGCTGTTTTCTGTAGCAGCTCTGCCATTTTTCCTCTCCCCCTCCCCCCCCAGCGACACACTAGGTTCAGATTATTACTCTCCTGTGCTGTCACCGTCAGAGTTTTTATGAGACACTGTCCTAGGGGATACGAAGTGATGCCATTCGTTAGCATTTTCCTATCATATACCATGGTAGTCTTCTAATTTAAGCTATAGAATCGACTTAGTTTGGGTTACTGTTGTGTGATGAAAGGGCTCGTTTGGCTTATGCTTCCATATTGCTGTTTATTAATAAAGGAAGTCAGGACAGGAGCTCAAGCAGGGCAGGAGCCTGGAGGCAGGAGCTGAAGCAGAAGCCATGGCGGGTGCTGCTCACTGGTTTGCTCCTCATGCCCTACTCTGTCTACTTGCTCGTTTGCTTGCTCTCTCTCTCTCTCTCTCTCTCTCTCTCTCTCTCTCTCTCTCTCTCTCTCTCTCTCTCTCCCCTCCCTCCCTCCCTGTTTTTATTTTAAAAGCTCTGGCTGTCTTGGAACTCACTTTTGTAGACCAGGCTGGCCTCAGACTAACAGAGGTCCACCTGTCTCTGCCTATGCCACCACTGCCTGGCTCCAGCTTGCTTTCTTACAGAACTCAGAACCACCAGCCCAGGGCCGGCACCACCCACAGTGGCCTGGGCCCGCCCACATCAATCATTAATTAAGAAAATGTCCTACAGCTGGAATTTTTTTTTCTAGACAGGGTTCTCTGTGGCTTTGGAACTAGCTCTTGTAGACCAGGCTGGCCTTGAACTCACAGAGATCCGCCCGCCTCTGCCTCCCGGAGTGCTGGGACTAAAGGCTTGCACCACCACCGCCTGTCTACAGGGGCGTTTTCTTCAATTGAGCTTCCCTCCTTTCAGGAAACTCCAGCTGTGTCAGGTGTCAACATAAAACTAGCCAGCACAGCTATATTACTTGGGTGTGTGTAGCCACATATGATGTGGAGGTCAGAGGAGTTATCTCTTCCCTCGGGTTAAACCCAGCTCATTCAGGCTCTGGGGCAGGCACTTTTACCAAACCGGTGTCTTACTGTTCCTCTTGTCTTTTGAAGCAGGTATAGGAGAAGTGATCCCCTGATGCTAAGGGTTACAGTGAGACAGTGAAAACGCCATCTTGTGCTTTATAGTTTACAGGAGACTTTCACGCAAAACCACGGACAATGGCAGGTTTACTGAGTTAACTTCACTTAAGACTAAGGACTTAGACATGTTTAGGCAGCCAGGCTTGGTGCACTCTTTTAATTAGTCCCAGCCCTGTGAGGCAGAGCCAGGTGGATCTCTGTGAGCTTGGGGAGAGGGTCCAGACTTCTCATCTACAGAGCGAGTTCCAGGACATCCAGGACTCTGTTTACACAGAGAAACCCTGTCTTGAAAAACCAGAGCAAGCAGCAAGCAAGTCAGAAGTATTAAGCAGTTTTTATTGCAAGCAGCATTGAATCATGCTTAGAACACCAAACTGTGGAGATTAAACCCAAAGCCATGGTTTTGAGCTGAGGTTAGCACGCGCTCACACGCTCGCTCTGTTTTCTAGAAGGTGTTTATCTTCTTCTGCAGCACAGTGCTGTGAGCAGGGTGCCTGCCTGCAGAGGCGGCTCTCATGGCTTCCGGGCGGGCTCACTGTGTGGGAGAAAGATCTGTACTTACTGTATCACACCAGTTCACCAGCCACCGTGATGCTCTACTTACTTCTTTACTGTTTTCCCCTTTCCTCTACCAGCGCAGCACACGCATGCTCTCATAAGCATACAGACCGCTGACACCCCTTGCCACGGCAGACACCACGTGTGTACATCACACACCCAGACTTCACACTCTGGCCCATCCCCTCCATCTTCTCTGCTTCCAGAAGATGAGAGCTGTCACTTTTCCAGAGAGAGAAGACACTGCTTCATCAGTCCGGCTATCCTTTCCTTTTCCCTTCATTATACACAGGCTAGGGTGGGCTGGCCTAGGACTTGCTGTGCAGCCTCAGCCTCCTGAGCCATGGGGTTATAGACACCAGCCACTATGTTCTGCCTTCAGTTTTGACTTTGGATAATACGTTTGAACTTTGGGGGAACTAGAGGAAGAAGTCTGGACATTCCATCTCCATCTTAAGATCTGTACCCCTCAGTTAGGGAACTCCGCTCACAAGGCTGGGCATTCGTGGAGGTGTAGGACCTGAGCTTGAATTTCTCTTTGGGTTTCTCTTTCCAGCTCTCCAACCACATCGCAGAGGCAGGGCCAGAGGTAGAAGCAAAAGCAGAGACCGGTTCTTTCAGAACAGTCTAGAATTTCTCCCAACTGTCTCACCTGCGGAGTCTGGTCCACCTAGCCCAGATGCCGCCAGCTGTAAGGATTCCCTGGAGGACGTGTCTGCAGATGTCATTCAGAAGTTTAAGTACCTGGGGACTGAAGACTGTGCCCAGTTTTCCTCAGTTTCCCCTAAGGCTGCAAGTCTCCAGGGAGCCAGTCAGATGGGAGCCAGCCTGAAGTTTTCAGAGAATGGGGACCCAACTGGCCTATTTTCTAGGAGTCGTTCTGATTCATTCTCAAATCAAGCCGCCAGCGGCTTTCATCTCGATGTGACACAAACACTTGAAGCCTTCGCTATGAAAACAGATACGTCTTCTGAGTACCGCACGGGCGTCAAGAGCAAGACTGGAACCCACGACATCCAGCACGCCCCCTTTTTTGATAGCTATGCCAGTGGAGTGACTATGGAAGGAACAGGCTCAGGAATTCTAGGTAACAGGGCCATAGGCAATGGGCTTGGAGAAATGATATTACCTAGCAACCATTGGAAAAGTGCAGCTAACCCTCAGGGTCCCAAGACCGCCGACAGCGGCCAAGACATGTCATTCCCGAGTGGTAAATATGGAGGAAACACAGTCTGGGCTAGTAAGTCTAGCCATAGTGAACTGAATGGCTCTACTCAAATTATGAACGAAACTCCTGATATCTTCAAAAGTAGTGCCACTGGCTTTGGTGTAAAAGCACCAGTCACGGGAAGAAAAGAAGCTGTGTGCTCTGGAGGTCAGGGCCTGGGAACCCAGGTCCTGGCTATGCCCGAGGAGGTCACTGCCACTGTGCAAGCCAGCAGGCTGCCTCAGTCACTTCCACCTTCCTCAAACCACAGAGCGGCAGCCTCTGGGACCCTTGGTGAGAACTCCGCACGTGCCTCTCTGAGCCCAGCTTGTGAGCCCTCGAGGAGGACCTCAGACTCCGAGTGTAAGTTGCAGAGGGGGCTCCCAAGGCTTTTGTGCCCAGGGAAGGGTAAACACAACACCATGGCGTTGGGTTACCTGCCTCAGAATTGCAATCATTTCATAGCCAGGGGCTCCTGGTACATATGCAGTATCTCTGTTTCATTCTGCAGAGGGACTGTGTAGGCTCTTGCGGGGGTGGGGAGGCAGCCTGTGAACCCCAGGATGCATGTGAGTGTAGATCCCATTTCTGGTGGTTTTCTCACGGTGAGGGCAGACATCCTTGGTTTTGGCTTACACGCATCCTCTTTTGTTTTGCAGATCCCCTGGGTTCCATCATAAACTCTGCATCCCCTAGGATGGATGCTCACGGACCAAAGGAAATCTGTCAGGACCACCTGTATAAGGGCTGCCAACAGAGTAAGTTGTGTTTTCTGAAAGCTCCTTTAGCCACCATGAACACTGCTGTGAGCACGGCACACCAGTGCTGGCCCAGGACCACGCTGCAGCTTTGGAGTAATCAGAAAAGGGGTGACTCTGTTTGATTCTCGTGGGAAACATTTTCCATTCTGGCTTGGCTGTTTTTCTTCCTGCAGTCTCTACTCTCTCTTTTCTCCTCATTCTTTTCCTTATAAAAACAAAAACAAACACAACACAACACACCTGCAAACAAACAAACACAACACACCTGCAAACAAACAAACACAACACACCTGACACTGTTATGTGATGGATTTTGTTGCCCCCGCTCAGTCTTCTCCTACTGAACCCCCTTTCCAACAAGTCCTCCCTGGGAGGTCATGTCCCTTTCCGTAACGAGCCGCTGAGTTTAATCAGGACTGCTTGCATAAGTCCGAGTTCGGTTACTTACGGGGGCCCAGGCGGTTTACCAGGGTCCCCACCACTGAGGATCACAATCTTGCTCCTTCTCTTCCTCCCTCTTCTATGTTACGATTTTTTAAATCATAAATCTCGAGCAGCCCCATCCTTTGAGTCCCCCGTGTGGTGCCTTTTAAAGGAGTCTTTTAAACATGTTTACAGTGACCTAGGGTGCTGGAGAGATGCCTCAGAGGTTAAGAGCACCCACTGATCTTATGTAGAGGACCTGGATTAAGTTCCTGGCACCCACATCACAGCTTACAACCACCTGTAACGTCACTTCTAGGGAACCCATTGCCCTCTCCCAGCATCCTTGGGCACCTGTTTGCACTTGTTATATATAAAATCATGCAGGGATACGTAAAAATTTAAAAATCTTAAAAAAAATCCCAGCAGATTATGTATACACACACACACACACACACACACACACACACACATATGACAGCAATAATAATTGAAGAAAAAAGATGCTATGAATTAAAAGTGGTCCAAGAGGCGAGGTACTAGAGGGCAGCCGGGAGGGAAGAAAGGAGCAATGATGTGAATACAGCGCCCTTACATGGAATTTCAAAAATAAAACGAGTGATTCACATGTAACATTGGTAATTTGAAAGGCTATTTTCCGTATCCTTGTGGGTTGGGATCATAACAGTTCCTTACTCAGCAAGTGAGTGTCCAATCTGGCATCTTTCGACACTTGTGCTGGGAGAATAAACTTAATAATGATGCAACTTTGCTTCAAAAATCTGTAATTAAAGTGGTCATCGGAGCAGCCACAAACAGGAAGGCTGCTTAAGATAAGCAAATACCTGGCATCCTAGCCCAAGTTGGGTACCAGGATTGAAGGAATTTAAAATACCACTCAGATCAGAATGGGGAGAGAGTAGCTACTGGGATTCATCCTAGTCACCCTAAGGGGACTCTTGGGTAAAGGCTTCAGAGTGCTCCAGAGTCCCCTGTCTAGGCCGGAAGGGGGCGTCTGGTCCCCAGGAGCTGGAGCTGGGGTCACTCTTACTTTCTAATGGGTTTCCATTAGAACCAGAGTTGATGGCATGATGGGGAAGCGCTGGCAGCTAGGATAGGCTGGCCTCGACAAGAAGTCGCCAGTGAACTTGAGCAGTGGAGTTGAATTAGTTTGAAACCCCAACACTTTACGGTAAACCCTTCTCTGTTGTTGTAGGCAACTGCAGCAAGAGCCACTTCTATCTGCCCTACCGGTGGCAAGTGTTCATAAATAATTCTTGGATTGACTTCCAGGCCACAGAGGATATCGAGCGAGCCTACTGTGATCCCCAAACTGAAATGTAAGTTGGTAGCTGATGGGGGTTCTACAGCTTGAACAGAGGGAACCTTCAAGCTCAGCCCATGGTACACCAAGCTGCCTAATGCTAGGGGACTCCAGGAATAGTTAGTAAATTGAGCAACATGAACAGTGGCCTGATTGTTTGATCTGTAGATGTGTCCTGTAGAAAAACATCGTACAGAGGTCAGTACTTTTGCTCTGCTTTTTCTTTTTTTAGACAGCTCTGGCTGTCTTGGAACTCACTCTGTAGACCAGGCTGGCCTCAAACTCATAGAGATCCACCTGCCTCTGCCTCCTGAGTGCTGGGATTAAGGGCGTGCGCCACCACCCAGCTAGTTCATACTTTTCTATGTATGTGTATTGATGTTAGGGTGTCAGATTCCCAGGAACTGTAGTTACAGACAATTGTGAGCTGCCGTGTAGGTTCTGGGAATTGAACCTGAGTCCTCTGGAAGAACAACCAGTGCTCTTAACCACTGAGCCATCTCTACAGCCCCTAGATCATACTCTGAATAATAGCTCATCACTATAAAAAAACTCGTCAGTGAAGCCAGGAAGGTGAAAGCACCTGTCCCCAAAAGCCTGACAACCCAAGTTTGATCCCTGGAAGCCACAAAGGAGCCAGATGAGGGGGTAGGCGCTTGGAATCCCAGCATTCCTGTATCCAGAAGCTGGTGGCCACTTAGCAGAAGAGTATATCACGTGATAGAAAAACCAGGCCCTGCCTCAGTAAGGCAGAAGGAGAGAACAGCTCCGGCAACTTGTCCACTGCCCACCACTCGTGTGCTGTGTATGTGTGCCTACATACACATGTAACACGTGCCAAAAACTTACTTGAGAAAAATACGCCAAATTAAGGCCAAGGAGACATTACAGTTAAGTTGGTAAGAGCGTGCCTTACAGTACGAGAACCTGAGTTGTATCCCTCAAAGCCAAGCTTTTAAAAAGCCAGAGAGACAAGGCTCTGTGTAGTGTGGCGCACGACTTTAATCCCAGCACTCCAGAAGCAGAGGTAGGCAGTCTCTTGAGCTTGGGGCCAGCCTGGTCTACAGAGCAAGGTCCATCCAAGAAAGCTGGGCTGCACAGAGAAAACCCTATCTCAAAACAGAAAACAAAAACCAATAAACAAACACAAAAAAAACAAAGTAAAAAGCTGGACAGATGTTGAAGAGTTGGCCTCGTGTAGAACTCGTCCCTGACAAGCGCAAGGCCCTGGATTTGGTTGTCGGCTCGTGGTAGGGGGAGAGGGAATCAGGTTTGTATGTGTGTTTGTGATCCTAGCTCTTGGGAGGAGGAGACGGGGATGGACCCTAGGGTATGCTAGTCAGCCAGTCTAGCCTGCTTGGTGAACTTCAGATCAGTGAGACCCTGTCTTAAAAAAACATAGTGGAAGGTATCAAGGATGACAGCCATGTTTGTTGTCTGGCTCTACGTGCACACATTTTAAAAAGAAATGTTAAGTGATCTAGGACAAATAAGCCTTTGGCTTAATTGCTTAACTAAGAATAAGATTGGATGCTTGGGAGATAGCTTTAAGCACTGAAGTGCTTGAACTCAATCCCCAGAACACACAGGAGGGTGTGTTTGTGACCCCAGCCCCGGGAAAGTTGAGGCCACTGATTGCCAGCTTAGCCTTGATGAGTTCCAGGTCACTGAAATACCCTGTCTACAAAACACCACAGTGGGTCTAAGTTAGCCCTCTAGCCTTCATGCACGTATGCACACCCCCACCCCACCCGCGTGATTTGAATAATTACATGTGTTCTAGTAGAGAAGTTTGTTGCGTACCTACATTTTTGTGTGCCATCTCTGTGTTCTAGAGGTTTCCACGGCGGTTGCTTTTATGTTACTGCATTTGTCAGGGTTACTGGGGATGAGTGTGACTGACAGCCACATGGTCATATTTTTTTTGCTGTGCGAGAGGGAAGTATGGAATTTAGAAACTTTTGGTAGGTGCCCTGTATTGCTGCATTCTGCCACTAGAGGGTGGCGTTCACTGTTCTCATATGTCGATGAGACATTTCTTTCTCCCCTCCCCCAGGTAAGAAGTTTTCCCCTGTGTAAACCCAGTTTCTCCATCTGGAAACTGCTGGTGTTTCAGAACAGAGTTGTTGCGGGCAGGGGTTCTTGGCTTCCCTTACTTCCCTTGACCTTCAGTGACCAACATTGCCGTCCACTGTTACCAAAGGTTCCCCTGAGATGTCCTGACCAGGGACCTAAGAGCTCTTGCACAGAACAGCAATTGAGTTCCAAAGCCAGGTGGTGGTGGCCTGATCTACAGAGTGAGTTCCAGGACAGCCGAGCCTACATAGAGAAAAAAAAAGTTCCTAAACACTTGCCAATTGCTTGTTTTATGCCAATTGTTTGCAAATCTATCCCTTTTTCCAGGAGAATCATTTTATATTTTCCTTTCATGTAAAGGTTATTTTCATTTCATGTTGTGTATGTGTTTTTCCTTGCCTGTGTGGATTTCTTGGAACTAGAGTTGCGAATGGCTGTGAGTCGCCACGTGAGTGCAGGAAAGTGAACTCAGGTCCTCTGTAAGAACGAAAAATGCTTTTTAACCACAGTGAGCCTTAGCTCTGCCCACTGGGGATTTGTATGTATGTGTGTGGGGGGAATGAATAACTTTAAGATTTAAAAAAATTAGTTAAAAAAGTTTTTTTTTGAGCCAGACCCTTACTAGGTAGACCAGGCTGGCTTCAAACGTGTAGAGACCCATCTACCTCTCCTAAAGTTCTGGGATTAATGTACACCCCATGCCAAACAGGAGTACATTTTTGGAAACTGTTACATATGTAGTGCAGACAAATTACCTGCCTATATTTCAGCTTTTCTTTTATGTGTAAGGCGAGGAGCTCTACAGAGAACATTTAGGCTCAATCCCCAGATCCATTTAGAGTGGAAAAGACAGAAATAGAGGAGGAACATTTAAAGATCCATTGAAGCCCTAAAATGTAAATTCCGAGTTCATGGTAGGGTGACCAGAACGTAGGAAACAGGTCATTGAAGTGTTGTTAATTTTTCTTCTCTCTCTTTCAGTGTTAAGATAGAAAAATTTCACATCAATTTCCAGAAAATGACTTGTGACTCTTACCCAGTCCGACGCCTCTCCACGCCGTCATTTGTCGAACACTCAGCTGATTCTGTCTTCAGCACCATATGGCTTTGGTACTGGAAGAATGAATTTGGCAAGTTTATACAGTATGGGGATGAGGTCAGTACTGCTTTCCCTTTAGGGGTGTCTCAGGGTCTCTGTTGCAGTGAAGAGACACCATGACCATGGCATCTCTCACAAGGAAAACGTCTCATCGGGGTGGCTTACAGTGCCTGAGGTTCCGTCTGTTATCGTCATGGTGGACAGCAGGGTGTAGGCAGACGTGGTGCTGGAGAAGATGCTGAAAGGTCTGCATCCGGATTGTCAGGCGGCAGAAAGAGTCTGTGTCCACACTGGCTATAGCGTGAGCATAGGAGGCCTCAAAGCCCTAGCCCCACGGTGACATACTTCCTCCAATGGAGCACGAGTTCTAATAGGTCTCAGTAATAATAACTCGGAGACAGATACTGAGGTTAAAGCTGAAGATCAGAGAAGCAAAGCGGCCAGTCTCTAGAGAGTTCTCACCTTTACCAGAGCTCAGACCAGAGGGGTGACCCTGTCCTCAGACTGCGTCTGTGTCCACCAAACCTCAGACTGTACTGAGCTCCTGTCTCCTCCTGCCTTACATCCCTCTCTAGTGCTGGGATTAAAGGCGTGGATCCCAAGTGCTGAGACCTCCTTTGTGTGAGCTCTGAGTGTATCAATTTCATGCAGCCCAGGGTGGCCTTGAACTAACAGATCCCTCTGCTTCTGCCTCCTGAGTGCTGGGATTAAAGGTGTGGCCACCACTGCCTGGCATCTATGGCTAACTAGTGTGGCCAGCTCTGCACTCTGATCTTCAGGCAAGCTTTGTTAGCTCATCAGTATCACCACACTCCATCAAGGCCAAACCTAGTAATTAGAGCCATTCCCCATATGTCTATGGAGACCCTGACATTCAAAGTACCAGAAGGGGGGGAAAGCCAAAGCACTATTGATTAGCAAAATGTTTGAAGGCTCCATACCTACTCTTAGAGAGTGGGTATGGAAGATGAACCTTTGGGCTTTTTGGTGGTTTTTGTTTTTGTTTTGCTTTGGAGAGGTTGAGCCATACTCAGGTAGAGTGTTCCTGTTGCAGTCCCTGTATACTCTAGGGGGATGACAAACACAAGCACATGGAATTTTTTTAGGACACTTGGGAGACACAATTCAGTCGTGTCCTTTTTTCTCAAGTAAAAAAAGAATTATTTACTTATATTTCATGTATGAGTGCTCCATCTGCCTGTATGCCTGCACACCAGAAGAAGGCATCAGATCCCATCAGTGATGGCTAGGAACCACCATGTGGTTGCTGGGAACCGAACTCAGGACCTCTGGAAAGAGCAGCCACCTTCTCCTCGCTCTTAAGGATGGGCTGGAGCTTCGCGCCAGGTTTCTGTGTGTCAGCTCCCAACACGCGGCCAGCAAAGAGGGCAATCATGGGAAGTTAGGGGAGTGATGGAGATGTCTTAGCAGTTGTCACACCAGCAGAATGTCTTAACCCTCTGCACCATACAAAACACATCTGGTCACTCATATTCGGTCAGTTTGGATTTAAACGGACTTCTGTTCCAGTACCCTCTCCTGATGGACATTCGGCAGGCCTTTAAGTCGCAAGCCCCTCCCCATGTAGGCAGCGGGCAGGATGGCTGTCTTCATCCCCTCTGCTCTAGTTCTCAAGGAAACGTTTTGCACTCGAATCTAGGGTTTTCCATCAGCCTGCACCTGCTGTAGGACAGATGGAATGGGATGGTAGCATAGTTTTTATTATTATTATTATTATTATTATTTATTTTATATAACCAAGTCCATTTAAATGAAAACAAACATTTATAGACAATATTTGGGAATTTGGGTAGCTTAGTTTTGATGCATGTCTTTCCCACCCATCCTGAGGTTTACATCCTTCCTGGATGCCTTGGAACCACAGATGAGGTCCACATTTCTTGAGCATCCAAGCCCCTTTCATACCAGCCTCATAGGGTAGTAAGCCCAGCACATCTTCAATATAGCTGTCTGGCTGGAGGCCTGCTCAGGCTATTTACTGTGGTGGACGGCCGAGGGAAGAGCCAGGTCATTGATACTTGAGTGGCAGCAACCCTATTGGAGCTTAGAGTTTAAGAAGCATATTGGAAAGGCTTCTTGATTCTCCTTTATTACAGCTCCAAACTAACTCTGCCCAAGATGCTCTGATCCGCACAAGACTGTCGAATTCTGCCGCAGCAGGGGCAGATGGGCTTGTGTTGTGCAGAGAGTGTAAAAACAGTATCACAGTCGTGGTCTCAGGCACTCTCAAAGAAACGTCAGTTTCTACAGAACAGTGCTCTCTCCAGAACTGTGACCTCGTGTCCGATGGGAAGTTCCAAAGCCTGACTTTGAAAAGAGCCCGCCTCCCTAATCCCATCGCCAAGATGGAACAGTAGAGATTCCTCGAAAAACCTACCCTCAAGTCTTTGACCTATGTGTTCTCAACTTTTTCTGTGAATAGAAAAAAGGCCAGCCCAGTTCCAATGTCAACTCTCCGTACCTAGAATCCTTCTTCCAGTCCTGTCCTAGGGGAGTTGTGCCGTTTCAGGCCGGTGCACGAGACTACGAATTGAGCTTCCAAGGTGAGTTCTTGTCTTCGGTGATGTGGAATGCCTGTAGAATGGCGCTGAGCACACCAGAGTAGACAGCCGCTGCGCACGGCCACACCCAGGGTGTAATGAAGCATGGGGACGGTCTCTGAGAGTGTCAGCTGGTGGCCATCAGATCTGGCTCCTTCCACTTCTCTCCTGGGAGATCAGAGGTTTGGACAAGAAGTCTCTAGGGGTTCTAGAACCTAACTCTTTACAGGTTCTTACATGTTTCTGATTTTGGGCTCCAACTAAACACTTGGAGTGTTTAGTTGCCCATGAGTACGGTGGGGTCTGGGCACCCTTAGACATTTAGAGCTTGCCCTTGGCTTCCTGCCTGCCTCTGATCAGTGATTTCATCGATCACTCCCACTCAGGCACATGGCTTGCCACCGTGATTTTTTTTTGTGTGTGTTTTTCTGCCCCCGTGTTTATTTGAACCTCTGTAGGAAGGTCTTGGTAGCTTCCACCAGATTGCCTGCTGTGTTGGGTGAGAAAGGGATGGATGACTGCTGGAACCATCTTCCCTTTGAAGCACTGTCCCTCTGGCATTGTGCCTGGGGATATGCCTGCTTGTAGTCAAACACAGGCCAGGTTTGAAGAAGTGACGCTTTCCCAGGTTCTTTCCTGGTGGTCTCTGATTTTGAGTCCTAGGCTAATTTATTGTGTCACAAACAATGTAGCTTTAGGGGCTATATTATACCAACCATTTCGGAACTCAACCTGGCATTCTCACCGAGACATGTTGAAATATGCCCACTTCTTCATTTCCTCTGTCCACTAGAAAAAAACCGGTGAGTAGATAAACTTAGAGTATTTAGTCTTAGTGGGATATTAGGGTAGTTGTCCTAGTTTACATCTCTGTTGTTATGATAAACACCACAGCCAAAAGCAACCTGGGGAGGAAAGGGTTTAGGGAAGAAACAAAAGCCATGGAGGATGCTACTCACTGGCTTGCCCCCCCCACCTTTCTTACTATGTAGACCAAGCTGACCTTGAACTTACAGCCTGCCTCTGCCTCCTCAGTGCTGGGAGTATCGTGCACACCACTGCTCGGCCAGTTGTACTGTTTCTAAAACTTCGTATCAATAGATTTCTTAAGTACACGTTTTGCCCATTGCTAGGTTTTTTTTTTTTTTTTTCCACTCAAAATAATGGCTTTTAAAGTAGTTTATGTTGCCGCAAATATAGTAGTTCTTCGCTTTTATTTGCTGAATAATATCCTACTATAAACGCATACCGTAGTTTATCTCATTCCTCGGTTTGTGGACAGCAGGCTTGTTTTTCAGTGTTTGGTTGTAATTGCCTGTGAACACTTACATGCTGTCTTTGTGTAGGTGTAGGTTTTCATTTCTTCGGGTGGGGTTTCTGGATATGTTTGGTTTTTATGAGAAGCTGTTTAATTTCCAAATGAGGTGTTGTTTTACACTCTTAACAATACATAGTAATTTGCTTTTTGAAAAGGGTCACTCTTGGAATTTTGAGCCAAGTCCACAATTGAAAACCATATTCTATAGTTGATGTGTTTTTGTTTGTTTGTTTGTTTGTTTATCTAAAAACCACTTTATTTGTGCATTTAAGATTCAGTCATGAACGTTAGCTATACAGATGGCCTCTGGAGGGGGAGGGAGAGCCATTTTCTAGGATCGCGTCTTGATTTTTATTTTAATTTTTCTGTCTACAGGGATGATTCAGACAAACATAGCTTCCAAGACTCAAAGGCAGGTAGTCAGAAGGCCCGTGTTCGTTTCGTGGAAGGATGTGGAACAGAGGAGGAGAGGTGCAGAGTAAGTGTTTCTGAGATGCTCGGGCCCTGCCTGACCTCGCCCTCCTGCCGCCGTGCACCGTGCATCTGGGTCTGTGTTCTTAGCAAGTTCCTGCTTCTGTTTCATTGTTGAGCAACGCGGTGTGAGTGAAAGGCGCTGGCTAAGGAGCCAGGGCGCAGGCCCTCAGTGAACTTGATTGTAGGCCTTGGATTTCGGGTATAGGCTGAGAGGGGTATTTTCTAGGAAACCAGCATTTGCCCTTAGCTCACAGGGGATTTTAGCCAGCTGTCATCTATACCCCGGGCCTCATCAGCTATCTGCTCCAGCTGTGACTGGCTGGACCAAGGAGTGTGCCTACAGAGTCCTATATACACTGGATTTTTGTTTTGTTTTTCTCTCTTTGGTTGTGCTGTGTGGTTTATAGAGGGCAGGAAGCTGGGGAAAAGTCTTGAGCTAGCAGTCTGGTTAAGGGCTTTGGAGAAAGATGAAGTTGGCTAATGGCATTGGTTTTAGTTTTAATTGACTTGAAATCATTGTACCAATGGGGCATTTCGAGGCGGGTTTTGCTGTGGGGAATTCATTGTATCTTGCCTGTCTGCTGTGAAACTCAGTAAAGTCTCATTGCTCACAAACTTTGCAGTTGGATTTTTTTCCCCCACGGGGAATGTGTGATTATATGCATCAGGTTTCAAGGCAGGTGTCAAATCAAGCTGTTGTATGTAGATTCTTGTGGCTGTAAGAGTCCAAGGCGGGATACCATTAGGCAACATGGGAAATAACACCTAGAAAGAGCTCAAACATGGAATGGCAGAGGCTGGTGTCCAGGAGGAATGTGGGTACCAGTGCTACAGGGTTCAGGTCCCTCCATTATGGCCACATCTGAGACCCAGTGCTGGTCACCTAAGTTCACACCCTGCAGAGGAACCACACTGCTCTCCCCAACCCCCAGTATGTCTAACAGCACTATTACTCCCTGCCGAGGTCCACCTTTAGACCCTGGGAACAGTAACGGCAGCTTCTGATTACTTTATTCCTCTTGTGTTAGGCTCTGTGACAACGCATGTGGACATCTAACAAAATCATACTCAGTTTTCCCATTCTCTTTGAAATGACCTTTTATGGTTGATTTATCTGCTACCATATCCAAACAAGGTCTGTGTATAGTACATTTAGCTGATTTATCTATCCCTTAAGCTGCATTTCAACTGTTTACCCTCATCTACCTTTAAAACTTTTGTGTGTACACACAGGCTTGCATACACATGTGTGTGTACATGTGTATGCACGTGTGTAAGGAGTATGGTTTTTCCGCCAGCCACCTGGTCTGGTCCCGCCGCCGCACCAGCCCCCAAATAATGTACAGACTCTGTATTTGATACAATGTTATTGGCCAGGTGTTAGTTTTTTATGGGCTAGCTCTGTCTTAATTATTAACCCATTTGTATGTATGTCCACGTGGTCTTACCGAGACCGGAGGAATGGCGGTTCTGTTCTCTCCAGGCTCTCCATCCTGACTCCTCCTTCCTACTTCCTATTTCCTCCTTGTCTCCTAGTCCCTCCTATCTTCCTTTCCTATTGGCCAACAGTGTTTTATTCATTAACCAGCATGAGAAACATACAGAATGACATCTCCCATCATCTCCTCTTTTCTGTCTAAATAAAGAGAAGGGTTTTAACCTTAACATAGCAGAATATATAACACAACAGTTATCCAATAAGAATGACATCTCCCATCACATGTGTCTGTATGTTCTCGCCCATTCTGATACGTGTGGAGATGAGAAGTTGACGTTGGTATGTTCTCCTCAATTACTTGTCTTGAGACACGGTTGCTCACACATTACATGGTCCAGTGACACATTTTTCTCTACTCCGCTGCTGGTGTTATGGAGGGGTGCTGTCACACACAGCTATTTACGTGGGTGCTGGGGATCCTAACTCAGGTCACCACTTCCCCAGTGAAACATCTCCACAGCCCATCTCCCTATATCGTCTTTTTTTGTTTTTGAGATAGGGTCTCCTATGCAGTCTTAGCTGGCCTTGAATTCAATATGTAGACCAGGCTGGCTCTGAACTCACAGAGTTATGCCTGGTTCTGCCTCTTAAGTCCTAGGATTAGAGGTATGTACCTCCACATCTGATTTCTCTCTGTTTTTAAAATGTGATTTAAAAAAATAAAAGAAAGGGGTAGTTTGATCTATCAAAATATACTCAATTGTATTCTAATGGGATAATTTTATGGGTGGCTTCTGTAGGCTGGTTACCAGATTTTTAGAATTTGGGTTTTTTCTTTGTTTCTTTTGTTTCTCTTTTGGTTTTTTCCAGACAGGGTTTCTCTGTGTGGCCTTGGCTGTCCTGGAACTCACTTAGTAGACCAGGCTGGCCTTGAACTCACAGAGGTCTACCTGCCTCTGCCTCCTGACTGCTTGGATGGATAAAAGACTTGTGCCCCCACGCCTGACAATTTTGAAGACTAGTTGGGTCCAGACTAGGTTTGGGGCGGGACAAGGGATGTTCTTATTGTGATAAATAACATCTTACGGCCCTGTTTTCTGACATTGCGGGATTTCTGCAGTTATTCCTGTCTTCAGCTGACCTGTCACCCTGAAATGCAGTTTCCACAGAAAGAAGATCCTTCCCACTGTGTTTCTGTATTTACCTGTCTATCGTTTGGCAAGGAAGTTACAAGGCATGCATGGGCACGTGCATGCACACTCTGTCATGCATGTTTGCACACACAAGGAGGTCAAGGGACAAACTGAAAAGTCAGTCTGTCCTCCAGCCTGGAAGGATCCAGCAGCAATCAGACTCGGGACATCAGGCCTGCATGCAAAGCAACCTTACCGACTGAGCAGTCTGGCCTGCCCAGTGTTTTTACAGTGGGAAGGAGCATTTATATCACTTAATTACGCCCTCTTTAAAACCTGTGGTTACTGGAATCAGGGGTTTTCAGGGTGTCAACAATATGTTTCCCAGGAAGCCCTGGCTTTCTGGCTGCCTGTTGAGGGTAGAAAGAAAGGGAACTGAGTGAATTTTCCTTCTGTCTTTATTTGTAGCCAGCAGCCGGTGATGCCCGTGGTAGAGGCTCTGACCCTGGATTCTCCTCCCCAGAGGGATACTAGCACATTTCCTTCTAACAGATATGAGGTACTTGGTTTTACTTGTTTTAAAGGTAAAAGCATGTTTCACGTGCTTTGCAGTGAGTGTTTGTCATCAAAGTGAATAAATGCTTCTGCATTAGCTGCAGATTAAAGGCAGGCATCTCGATATGATTGTGACATTTTTTCCCAGAGTGTGACTGTTTTCCGGGGCACCTCCCTGTGCTCAGTGTCACTTAGGCAGGTTTCTCACTGTAACCCTGTGAGATCATAACAGCGCTGATAAAGAAACAGGAACTCAGAGAATCACAGTCGCCTAGCTCTGTGTGCCTGACTTCGTCACTAGCCTGGCTGGGACAAGACCGTTTCTAGTCTGTGTAGCCTTTACAACTGGCTGTGTGTGGTCCGGTTGTGATCCATTGGTACCTCTGATCACTCTGTCTGTCACTGGTTGGTTTTGGAGTTTGGGCTTCCTGGGTCTCTGGGCTAAGTGACACACCAAATAAATTGGCCTGAATGGGCAAGTGCACCAGAATGAACAAGAAGCCAGATATGGACATGCTAAGCCAGCTATCACCCGAGAACAGCAGCGGTGGTCATGGCGTGGCGGAAGGGGTGTACATGTATGTTTTCAGTATGTCCTAGTTAACCTTTAAACGCCTCATTTTTTTTTTCCCCCAGTTGGTAGCACTCAATAGCCAGGATGAGGAGTATGTCAAAATAAGTGAACTCTTTAAAGCATCCATGAAATATTTCAAGGTTAAAACGATAAAAAGGATATGGAATCAAAGCCTCTGGGAATCTTTTGAAAGGTGACATAATCAGACTTTGCTTGGGACCACGTTAAGGCAGGCTGGGAGGGGAGCACTCGGTGCCAGGGTGCGGGGCATGCATGCATGTCATAAGACAACTTGCTGGAGTCATTGCCCCCTGGACCATGTGGGTCCAGGTGATGGAACCCAGGCTCTCATGCTCGGCGGCGGCCATCTTGCTGGCCCAGTTTCTCGGTGCTGAATCTCCCACTTGTGTATATTAGGAAAAAGCTGGTGATGAGGAGTAACAGTGAGATGCTGCTGTTTCATGCAACGTGCCGTGTTCATGTGGATTACATCTGTAAGAATAATTTCGAGTGGATCCTAAATGGAAGCCGGGAGACCAGATACGGAAAAGGTTTGTGCTGGAGTCGAGAGGGCTGACTCTGGCTCTGCACATGCTTTTGTTGAGGTGCTCTTGGCATCAGTTTGTAAACCTGCATGGTGGGCCTCAGTGGCCGTGGGAGGGCATAAGCTTAAGTTACTTTCATCCTGTGTTAGGACAGGTCTGCTGACTTGGGGTGTGGGTGTTGGCTCTCTGTCTTCTGTCTCTTTCTTCTCCCGGGTGAGCTCAAGGTCTTCATACTTGTAAAGTGCTCCATCTTCTGGCTGTGTTGTCTGTCATTGGTACTTATTAGAGATGGCTCTTCCTGTCCTGTGTGTGGCTGCAGAGCCTTTCAAACTAGCTTTCTATTGTCACCAATGGATTCCAGTTAAGAAAGGGGAGAGTGGCCAGGCATTGGTGGCACACGCCTTTAGTCCCAGCATTCGGGAGGCAGAGGCAGGCGGATCTCTGTGAGTTCGAGGCCAGCCTGGTCTACAGAGCTAGTTCCAAAGCCACACAGAGAAACCCTGTCTCAAAAAAAGGAAAAAAGAAAGAACAGGGAGAGAGGAGCCTGGCAGTGGTGGCACATACCTTTAATCCCAGCACTCTGTGAGTTCGAAGCCAGCCATAAAATAAAAAGACCAGGAAAAGAGGCCCCCTTTCATCTCAGGCACATTGGTTTTTTTTAAGAGGTTAGCCCTCCCTTTTTTTTCATTTTATTTTTTGTTGTTGTTGTTGTGGGTGTTTGGGGAATGTGATACAGTTAGATATGGCAGCACAGCATAGGATAGAAATTTGTAGCCGGGACCAGACCTATCACAATGAAAAATAATACAAAGTATCCTGGAATGGTGGTGCATGCTTTTAATCTCAGTACTTGGGAAGCAGAGGCAGGAAAATCTTTTGAGTTTAGCCTGGTTCACATTAGAGAGTTGCAGGAGCCAGCTCTACGTAGTGAGATCTTGTCCTAAATAAAATAAAACAGTGATAAAATACAGACGCATACCACTGCTTCTGTGATTCAGAGACTCCCTGGGTCAGTGTGGAGCACAGCTTTAATTAGCAGTCTGGTAAAACTGAGGTATTGGGGTCACAGACATGTGGTGGGTTGGTGGATTTGTTTCTGTTTGGCCATTTTCTGATCCCTGACCAACGTTATAAGTCTGCAAAAGGCTCCTGGATGGGCCCGTTCCTTTGTAAATAAAGTTTGCTTTGATTAAACCTTACAGTGGGAAGAAAACATAAAGGGCAGTGGGAAGTGGGAGAGACACAGAAAAGTAGTCCAGGGCTGAGGGAGTAGTGCAGGCTCAGTCAGAGGGCCTGAGTATGAGCCTCACACTCAAAAGAGGAAAATCAGGGCATAATGACATATACTTGTAATCTCAGTGCTGGGGGGGGGGGGCTGACAGGTAGATCTCTGGCTTTCACTAGACAGACAGCATAGCTTTCTTGACCAGTTCTGTGCCAGTGAGAGATCCAGCCTCAACCAATGGATCAATAGACGTGGATGGCATCTTAACACCTGCACCTAAGGTTGTCCTTTGACTTATGAACACACGCATGCAGTCATACATGCGCGCGCGCGGGCGTGCACACAGACACGCGCGTGCGCGCGCGCACACACACACACACACACACACACACACACACACACACACACACACGAGCTGTAATCACAGTACTCGGGATCAGTTACCTGAAGCCAGAGCATCTGAAATTCCAAAGCAAGAGCTGGGGAGGTAGTTCAGTTAGTAGACTGCTTTCCTGGTAAGTCTGCATCATTCCCCTCTGCAGCTTCCAGAGGATGGAGACCTTCCTTCAAGCTGTTTTTCCTTTGTCCCAAGTAAAGTAAGGGTTCTGATTAATGGGGCCAACATCTTTAACAATTCCAGCCACTTTGTTGGTACCTGTTCTCTCTGCCCTGCACTCACTTTTAAATGAATTTGTCATTTTTTCTTTGGCAGACTACACAGTTTTTATTATCTTCTTCTTGCTCTGAATTCTCATTGTAAGTCTCAGTAAACACAGTTAGCAGTAACTATTACAGCCCTAATGTTACTGTCTTGAATTCCTTTTGCCAAACAACTTAGGTCTTTACCTTTACATTCCGCTTCATTCAAATGGTCAGGACATGGGCTGGAGAGATAGCTTGGGGGTCGAGAGCACTGGCGGGTCTTCCAGAGGACTCAATTCCCTGTACCCACATGGAACCTCAGCCCTGAGCTCCAGTTCCAGGGCATCTGATGCCCTCTTCTGCTCTACAGGGCCTTGCGTGCATGTGGGGCACAAAAGCCCACATAACTTCACACATATACATAAAAATAAAAGAAATAATTTTTAGAAAAAAAAAAAAAAAAGAGAAATGGTCAGGATTTGGTTGGTGTATTGCTAGACTGTAACATAAATGTCCTCTAGCCCAACCTCCAATAGAGCCTTTGTTTCCCTTTTACAACCTCATTGACACCATTTTCACTGTGGTTTTGTTTGTTTGGTTGGTTGGTTGTGGTTTTTTTTTTGTTTTTGTTTTTTTTTTTTGGGTCAGCATTCTGAACTTTCCCAACATAACAGCCCATTAAGGCCTGCCTGCAGTTCCAGCCCACAGATCCGAACTCTCCTGCAAACCAGCTCCAAAGGTCTGACTGCAGCAGTTCTGGCTGTCCTGGAACCCACTCTGTAGACCAGGCTGGCCTTGAACACACAGAGGTCCGCCTGCGTCTGCCTCCCGAGTGCTGGGACTAAAGGCGTGCGCCACCAACGCCTAATACAGTCCCACTTTTGACATCAGTTTTCTGCCTCCATTGCCTCCGTTGCTTATCTTGTAACCAAATACCCAACAAGAAGCAACTTAAAGGGAATGGATTTATTTTGGTGGGAAAGGCATGACAGCACTAATTCCGTTGATCAGATTATAGCCACGGTCAGGAAGCAGTGCGTGCGTGCGTGCGTGCGTGCGTGCGTGCGTGTGTGTGTGTGTGTGTGTGCGTATGTGTGTGCCTGTGCATATCTGTTTTCTTCTTTTCCACCCAGTCTAGTCTTGGTTTCCAGCCCTTAGAATGACGTCACCTACATTTAAGGAGGATCATCCAGTTAAAGCCCTCTGGAAATGTTATCACCTGTGGACATATGTCTCCCACCTGTCTGGGAATGCAGTTCAGTCAACCATGAGGGTTAAGGATTCCAGAGGGTCCCTAAAGTGTTATTGGCAGATGTTTCATCCATACCGATGTCTGCTTCTGTTATAACCTATTATAATCTGTTATAACCTATGCTCATGGATAAATAACAGTTTCACACCTTTTCTGGTTATTTCTAGGAAATTACTTTGCAAAAGAAGCCATATATTCCCACAAGAATTGTCCATACGAGGCCAAAAACATTGTTATGTTTGTCGCCCGAGTCCTGGCTGGAAATTCCATTGAAGGAAATATGACATACAGTAGGGCTCCTGCCCTCTATGACAGCTGTGTGGATAGCAGGTTGAATCCCTCCGTCTTTGTCATCTTCCAGAAAGAGCAGATTTACCCAGCATATGTGATTGAGTACACGGAGCTAGAAAAAGAGAAAGCTTGCACAATCAGTTAGAAACAATGTATGCCAGGTCGAAACCATTCTGTTGACTTCTAGGACCAAATCATCCCCAGACAATAGACTTTTGCATTTCCTTGCTACATTACCTAATGTCTTAAATCAGCAATTCTCAAACTTCTCTCCAGATTCACAGACCCAGGTTGTACTCCCACGAGAGCCAGGTGGTGGTTTTTTTTTTTTTTTTTTTTTTTTTTTTTTTGTTTGTTTGTTTTTGTGAAAACTGCCCCCATAACTCCAGCATTTTGAAAAGATTTCTTTGTCTTAGCATTACTAGTGAGGTTGATTTCTAAATTGTCTGTAATCTGATCTTTACCATCTTTACTAAGTATGTAGCATTGTTTTGGTTTCACTTAAATTGAGCTGGATATTAGTTCTGGAAATTTGAGAGACATGTAATAATGTTTATTGAAATAGGGACATATAAAACATTGCAGCTTTGGATAGAAAACTTGCTGATGAAAAAATGTTAAAGGTTAAATGTGAACGAGTAAATTGAGACATAAAAGTAGTACGCAATACTGTATATTACCATGCGATGAAACTGATCTGAGGAATATTTCTTTCTCTTTGCATTTACTTAGAAGACAGACTTCATGGAGTTGGCTCTGAAGTACAATGTTCAGCGCCCCCAAGTATAGTTCAGAAGCAACTAATTGGAGTTAATTGTCCATTTAGGCTCTTGGTATCTGCCTTCTGATTCGTGTGATTACAGAGAACGATTCTTGAGGTTAGGCTTTTGTGTGATCATCTGGAGTTTAGTAAGGTTAAGTTGCAGTACTGATATACCCAAGTGTTATTGGAATTTTCGTACAGCGATAGAAGAGTTGTCAGGAACCAGGAAAGGCCTTCCCTGTTTGAAGGCTGGACCTCGTAAAGAGGCAAGTCTGGTTTGTTAGTGAGCACAAAAGCAGTTAAGAGAAAACAGTGTCCCACATAGTCCTTTACCTGCTAGCCACATCATTTTGAAAATGTAGTAGGTATCTTTTGTTTTGTTTTGTTTTGTTGTTGTTGTTTAGAGCATTTAGGATACCTGGACCAATTTTTTTTTTCTTGCTTACTACATACGGATCAGGTCCTTCAACACCCCCCCCCCAACATTCTGTACCATGTGTCACAGTCTCCTGTTGTATTCTTTCCAGCAGACATGTTCATCATTAATGGGCATTTGGTCAGACTTTTCATTGGTTGTTTTACTTTGGAGGTCTCCAGTAACACTGTATCGAGAACTTTTTAGAGTGGGATTCTTTCCATTCATTGCCACAATATTTTTTTAAGTAACTGAATTTTTTTTTCATGTGGCATCTTCTATTTTGGAATACTCATTCTCTGACCTAGACTTCATACTCTACACATGCAGTATATCTAACTACTCAGTAAGCTAACTTCTAGTTGGATATTTACCTGCCATCTCTGGTTCAACAGGTCCAAAATAGAACACTCTATTTGCTTCCTTCAAAGAGATCGATCGGTTCATGGTGTGTTTGTGCACACCCCACACACACCTGCCCCAACTCCATAAACAGTATCATTTGCTCCCTGCTATGCAAAAAGAAAGCTAGAATTCCTCCCAGACTCCTAGCTTTCCCCAGTCCTTATGCGTCTGAGTTATTCCTAAACCCAGTACTCGGTGACTTTTGTACCTAGTTCAATTCAGTGGTTCTCGATGAACTGTTCTGTTGGGGTCCCCCCCCCAACTAGGCAATATCTGTTTTAATCTCTAAAGTGCAATTCAGACATATATTCTCCATATAACTCAAAGTTAATATAATTTAAGAGGGAAATAAAAGGTCATAACCCCGGCACGACTTTATAGTATTAAGACATAATGCAGTCGTCAGATGCCTATGCTTACCATGAGCCAGTATGAGCTTAGAGGAAAGGAACTGGCCAAACGTGAAAAATCAGGCACATGTGTGGACATTAGAATTAAAAACAAATGACACAAGTCATTTTCAAATGTCAGCACTATTAGTTCATGGTAAGAACGGAATACCTTCATTGTAATAAAAGTACTGCACAAAAGAACTTACAGATCGTCCAGACAGAGAATGAAGCGATACATTCTTGCAGACAAGCTGTAAGTCATACATGAATGTCTGATGAGACATTCAAACTCGAATAGGGCGCAGAATAATTTCTTATTGTGAGGAACTGCCCAATAGATCACGAAAGGTTCATAGTTTGGCTCTCACATCCTGAATCCAGTAGCGCCCTCCCGCCCACAGTCATGATACAACCATAACCCTAATAGACCTGTTCATCCTTTTAAATGGAGATCTTTTTTATAACGTCGTTTGCCATCTTCACATGATTTATAGGTAACACAGTCTCCACATGAGTTTATTAAAACTTAATTTAGTGCCCTATCTCTTATAATGGAAATGAAACATAGATGTAATGAACACAGTGAATTTCAGTGTGTAAGTGCTCAGGCATGACTATGCTATAAGTTTTGAAGGAGATGTTAACTCTCACTGTGACTAGGTTTGGGCTTAAGTACAAGAGTATAGGGAAGGGAAAGGTGGAAGGGATGGGTAACTGAAACCAGATGGCATTAGGGCACACCGTAACAGACCGTGCACCTTATCTGTCTATGGTGAAGGGAAGGGCGGAATCACCTTAACTGAAATGATAATAAGACAGGGCAAATTACATTTTGTCTCAGAGGAAATCAAGTATTCTCTCTCAGACAAACTGTAGGTCCTGCATACATGTCCAACAGGACATTAGATAGTCGCAAAGGCGCAGAACAGTGTGTGTGTGTGTGTGGGTGGGGGACTGACCCATCCACACACAGCGGGACCCTTGTTCTGCCTCAGGTTGCATCTACTCAGTGCCGGTAGTAACCCTCAGATACAAAATCAACGACCATCACCCACCAGTATACTACAGTGAGAGCCGCTGGCCTTGTTAGTGACAGCACTCCACTCTTGGAGCAATGCGGTTCTTAATCTCATTCTGTTTCACTGTAGAATATGCAGGTCCTTGCTCCCAAAACCCCCAGCTTTTAAAATGCATTGTACCTTGGTATTGTCTTACTGTATCAGTCAGCCTTCTTGTTTGCTCAATAAAAAGAAAAAAAGGAATCCGGTTCACTTGTTTTCATTTGCTCTGCTTACGGCTACATCTCAAAACAAAGCAAGAAAACCCTCAACTGTAGACACCAGACTCTGTCGACGACGGGGACCCTGAGGGAGGGAGGGAGAATGAGGAGACGAGGGAGAATGAGGAGACTCGAGAGATGGAGACAAGACAGTGTCCTGATCAAGTCTCGATTAATGAATATGACCACAGGGTTTAGGTAGTGCAGAAGTGAGGGAATGGGCCAGAGGGAGATGTGAGCGAGGCAGGATGTCCTTCCGAGCAGGACGCAGGTGATCTGCTGTAAGTTGCTGTACGGTAAGCATGCAGCTGGGACTCTTTCAGGGTCAGGCTGCATCCTATGCTTAACAGAACAGTCATAGGGGAATGGAAAATTACCAGTATGTTAGTGTCTAATAGGAAAGCCCATTGAGGCTTAGTTATCCCACAGAAAAGTTTATTTATTTATATGGATATAAATGAGCAAACGGAGTAACTCCCTAAACAGCCTAAGATAAAGACTTGTATAAATGTAGCTTAACAGAGAGCTGGGCATGCAAACACATGCCCGTTATTCCAGCATCTGAGAGGCAGACAGGCTCAAAGAGTAAAAAAGGCGTCTGTGAGAGCTAATGGTTTTTAGGGGAACAAAGTCGAGATAAAAAAAGTCTGATTTTCTTATTTGTTCAGGTTTGAGAATGTCATCTCCTCCTTTTCTTTTTTAAACTTTCTATTTGTACTTCATGTGTATGAGTGTTTTGCTTGCCCACCACAAAAATGCTGCTGTTCTCAGAGCATAAGTTTTTAGCTGCCATGTGGGTGCTAGGACTCAAACCAGGGTCCGTGTGCTCTTAATCTGTTAAGCCATCGTTATTGCGGTTAAATAAGGATCAGGATAAACGAATAGGCCGAGTAGATGTTTATTCAGGGGGAAATAACTTATAACCTAGACAGATGAACAACAGCAATTTCCACCGGATCCTCTCCTGTCCGAGTCAGGCCAGCAAGCAAGAGAGCTTTTCCCAGCTCTCTCTGATCTCCTTCCACAGGTCACTTCCGCCCTGGCTCCACCCCCAATGGGCGTGGTCAGTGCCACAGAAGGACTATCTCACTACACATCGTCCCAGCCCGGCTGTTTTGTTTTTAACAGCCTCACATTGTAGCCCAGGATAGCATCGAGTTAAGCGTTCCTCTTGTCTCAGCCCCCCAAGTATTGGGGTTACAATTGTGAGCCGTCCCAACAGGGGTCTGCTTTTTCTTCATTTCTACAAACACCCCCAGAGAGGAGGGTCATGCCGTGACCCTTTTAGACGCTTGCTTTTAGTGAGGTAACTGCATCTGTTAGTTTTGCATGTCTTTACAATAATCCCAGGTCAGTTCTTTGGGTGAGAGCTTTGTAGGTACGAGCTCCCTGGGCAATTCCAGCCTTCCTGTATCGCTGGCAAACTCACTCCCTCTGCTGAAGATCTTAGCTAGAGAGAGTTCAAGTACAGAGTACCAAAGAGACAGGGATGCTTTCTGATTTTTTCCCCCTTCATCCATCCACTTCTTTAACACTGATCATCTCCAACAATCCATGCGTCTCTCAGTAGACACTTTAGGAGCTGAGGACAGAGATGAACAGTGTAAAGAAGACCCACCGCTGCTCTCACGAACTTGAACTCTACAAGCAAACGTTGAATCAGAAGGGAAGAACTGTCAGGTATGGCTCTGGCAGAGACAGACGGGGCTGTCACAGTGAGTGATAGCCAGGAACTGGTTGACACAGACACCCAGGCTGAAAACTGTGTAGTGGCCTCTTTGCATTTACGTGAAATCAATTCCTTCAGGCTGAGAAGCACCTAGTGAGGTTAGCGGCTAGGCTGGCTGTCCTCACATTAGCAGGAGGTCCTTAAACGTCCACGAGATGAATGAAACATTGAGCAAAATGGACAGGTATTTAATAAGTGTACAGGTCTGGATTGGTGCCACCCAACAGAAATATAAAGTGAGTCAGACAGGGAATTTTCTCATAGGAGGTTATGAGAGATGGCTCAACTGTTAAATGCTTCTCCAGCGTTCATGTCAGGTAGCTCACAACAACAGGGGATCTGTTACCGTCTTCTGGCTTCCATGGGGCACATGTGGCACACACATCTTAAAAACCATTAAAAAGGTAAAGAAAATTAAACAGAATTGTCCCAACATTTTGTTACTCGAATATATCAAAACAGTATTCACTTTGTTTGTTTTCCAAGACTGGGTTGCTCTGTGGCTCTGTCCTGGAACTCGCTCTGTAGACCAGGCTAGCCTCGAACTCACAGAGATCCGCCTGCCTCTGCCTCCCGAGTGCTGGGGCAAAAGGCGTGCGCCACCAATGCCTGGCTTATTTATTTATTTATTTTTACTTTCATTGATTCTTTGTGGATTTCACATCATGCATTCCGATCCCACTCAACCCTGTGTGCCCTCGGAGCCCTCTGCCCTTGCGACCTCCCCCCAAAACAAAACCAACCTTAAAAGAGAAACCAAACAAAACGAACCCTGTTGTCATGGAAGCTGCGGTGAGGCCTAGTAAGTCACAGAGTTTACTCCTTAGCCTGTTCATCTTTACTTGTGTTTGCTGCTGTGAGCCACTGCTCTGCTTTGAGGCCCCTGGCTTCTGCTGCATCTCCAGGGACGTGCTCTGGCTGGGGCTCCTCAGGGATGTCCTGTTGTCTTGGGTCATGGAGGTCCTGCTGTAGGTTTAGCCCCTTCACCTCCTCCAGCAGTTCATGGACAGGTGGATGTTGTGTCTGGGTGGTAGCTGGCTGGGTTGGTCACAGTTCGCTGGCGGTCAACCACTGTTACTACCTCGGGAGTAGCTAGCCTAGGCTAGCTCACCCAATGCAGCCTACAGCAAGGAATAGGGTCAGTTCTGCTCGAAGGCCCTAGGCTAGCTCACCACCATCTTCTACAACAGGGTCAGCTCTGGTGTGATGTCCAGGCAGGGAGCAGAGGCTGCTTTCTCACACTTCAACCATGAGGGTAAGGGCTAGCTCTCCCTACTCTTGTGACCTCAGGACTAGCTCCCACCTGCCGAAGGCAGTAACGGGTGACGGGTGGGGTGGGGTGAGGTGGGGCATCTTTCCCTCATCTATGGGGGGGCGGGTCAACTCTTCTGTTCACATGCCCTCCGGGATGGCTCACCTGAGTCACAGGGTCAGCTCTAGTGTGCTTCCCAGGTGAGGCACATGCCTGTGGTGAGAGGTGGGGTCATCTTTCCCCCCTGAGGGCTAGGGTCAGCACCCTGCTGCAGTATTCAGGGAGGGGCAGGACCAACCATCCATCCCAGCCAGGGCCAGTGAAGGGCAAGGCTAGCTCAGCACAGCATGGTTCCAGTGATCCCCATGCTAACACGGGCCATGGACATCACCACAGACCCCAGCTACAGCAGGACCACAGACCCAGACATGGCCCTCGGCAGCAGCTCAGGTGCAGAGGCCAACATGGGCCCTGTGACAGCTTAGACCCCTCAGACCAGCAAGGCTCTGGCCATAGCATGCCCCCCCCCAGGGGAGGGGCATCACCTGATCCCAGGTGGCTGGAAGACCCCAGGCATATGCAGAGCCATAGGTGGCAACTGGAGCCATGGTCACTACCCCAGACCCTGCCTCCACAGGGCCAAGGTTACTCAGACATGGCCCTGAGCTGCAGCCTGTACCTGGAAGTCTCCATGGCTCTAGGTGACAGCACCAGCCACCCACATCAGCATGGTCCCGAGCATGGCACAGTTCTCAGGCTGACATGGTCTGAGGTGGCCAACCAGACCCTGGTCTTCCACAGGGCTCTTGGTGACAACGGGAGCCCTGGGTGTCACCTCAGACCCTGGCTGCTGTAGGGCCACAGACCCAGACATGGCCCTCTGTAGCAGCCCTAGCCTGAATGCCACCGTGGCCCCGGGTGACAGTGAGAGCCACTCAGATCAGGATGTCTTTGGTGGCCGCGTGGTCTCCTTCATAGGCACAGGTGGCTTTTGGTGGCAGCATGAGCCACAGATATCAATACAGACCCTGCCTATGGTGGGACCACAGGCCTAATTATGGTCCTAGGCAGCAGCCTGAGCCTGGATATCAACATGGCCCCAGGTGTCAGTCTAGGTCCCTGGCATCAGCATGGTCTTCAATGGTTTCAGGAGACACAGGCGTCCACACAGACTCTGGATTCAGCAGGAACACAGAGCCAGACGTGGCCCTCAGCTGCAGCCCTGGTCCAGAAGATACCATGACCCCAGCTGACAGCACTGACCACCCAGATCGGCCTCGTACTGGCTGTAGCACATCCCTCGGACACCAACATGGTCACAGGCGGTGGCCCAGACCCTGGGCATCCATGGGGGCTCTGACAGCAATATGGACCAGGGTGATTGATCAACACAGACCCAGACATGGTTCTAGGCAACAGCCCAGGTTGTCACTATGGCCCCTGGTGGCTAGGCAGGGCACCCAGCTTGGTATGTCCCTCAGATACTAATGTGGCCCCCACTATAGGTCCCTGTACAACTCCCAGTGACAACAGGAGCCCCAGACATCAACGCAGGCCCCTCAGCTGCTCCGGGGGCCCCGGATCAAGACCAGGCTCTTGGTCATAGTCCAGGCCCAGATATCTCCTGGATTTGGGTGGCCAGATGGCCAGTCATGTCCCTCGCTACCGTCTCGCCAGCAAGAACGACCTGGCACACTCAGGATCCTTCTGCAGTAAAGCTTTAATGCATCTTGAGAGGGAGAGCATAAGCTTACAGAGCGGAGACGCCAAACATCCAAAACCCAACCCTTATATAGGTTTACAACCTTCGCCTGGGATGTGTCACCTCCTGATTGGCTGCAGCCCATCGGCCCATATGACGCCACGGAAGAGGCAGAGGCCAAGGGAGGGAAAATCACCCTGCACCTGCGCACTGACTTGTTTACTCTCAACGCCAGCTGGATGCAGGCGCCATCTTGTAATGGAGAATGCAGGGACGGCTCCCTACACAGTCACATCAGCCCGTTCCTCAACACCCTCAGCTTTCCCGGTGTGCCTCTCACCAGCACATAAACCGTAACTCCTCTCCCTCCCTGTCTTCTGCCTACTTTGTACTCTCTCACCACAAGGGTGGCCAGCTGTCCGGCACCAGTGCTTCTGGTTGGGTCAGAGGTACAGCTTGGTTGGACACTGTCGGTCCCGGGCACAAGCAATGACACGGAGTTGTAGCTTTTCCTCTCTCTCTCATGCCGAAGCCTAGATATCTGGAGCAGTACTTGTTATGATGGTACCTGGCTGTCTGGTGCCAGGGGCATCAGGGTAGCTCCTGGTTGATTGTGGCTCCCCACCCAGAATTCTGGGGGTCGGGGGAGCTGTCTGTGTCCACCGTCAGTTCTACAGTAATCACTTAAAAAAAGATTAATTTTTATTATTTGTATTATGGGTATTTTGCTTGTACATGCACCATGTGTGTGCCTGGTGCCCTTGGAGGTCAAAAGAGGGTATTGATCTCCCTGGGACTGGGGTTACAGATGGTCCTGACTCAGCATGCCCACCACGTGGGTGCTGAGGATCAAACCCCTGTCTTCTGTAAGGGCAACAAGTACTCTTAACTGTAGAGCCAACTCCCCAGTCCAACTTTGAGTCACATAAAATTGAGACTTTTTTTTTTTTTGAGATAGATTCTCATGTAGAACAGGGTGTCCTCAAACTAGATACATTGTGGAGGATGACCCTGAATTTCTCATCTCCCAGCGCCTACCTGCCCAGGGCTAAAGCCCACCAGGCCCAATGATTGTGCCATCTACAGAGCTATATCCCTGCCACCAAACTGAGATTTTTTTTTCCTCTCTCATTAGAAATCTAGTGTGTATCTCATTTCCTAGTTTGCACATTTCAAAAGCGATTAGCAGACCCAGGTGGCTAGTGGCTACTCTTCAGCGAGGCCCTCCACCAACGCCAGGCATCTCTTTACCACCTTACCAGCTTCATCCAGTATGTGTGTGCATAGTGTGTGTCAGCGTCTGTGTCCTGTGTGTGTGTGTGTGTGTGTGTGTGTGTGTGTGTTAGTGCAGGTCAGCGCATGCGGAGGCTAGAGAGCACATTTTCGCACTCAATTCTCTCTTTCCACCATGGGTTCCAGAGCCCAAACTCGAGAACAGGTCTCCCCCCCCCCCCCCCCCAGTCTTCACTGCTGACTCCTTCCTTTTTTTTTTTTTTGAGACAGGGTGTCGTGTAGCCCGGGCTAGCCTCCAGCTCCCTATGCAGCCCACGCTGGCCCCCAACCCCTTATTCTTCCAACCTCCACTTCCCAGGGGCTGGCATTGCAGGCGTGAGCCACCAGGCCGGGTGCACGACACCAATGCTTGCTTTATAATCTTTGCATCCCTCCCGGGTTTCTGCAATAGACCCAGGAGCCGGGAAGGCTGCTGCGGCTCAGGCCCGGCCTTGTGAGGCCCGGCCCCCCGACAGCTCCCAAGCTCCAGCGGCGCTCGCGGCGGGGAGGAGCCTGCGGGCCCCGGACTGGCGGGGACGCGCGGCGCGGGCTCCACGGGCCATGGCGGACCTCACGGTGTGCGCGTTCCTCACCAAAGTGCTGTGTGCTCACGGCGGCCGCATGTTCCTGCCGGACCTGCGCGGCCACGTGGAGCTGTCCGAGGCGAAGCTGCGGGCGGTGCTGCGGCGCGCGGGCCCCGAGCGCTTCCTGCTGCAGGAGGTGGAGCTGCGCGACGGCCCGTGGGACCCGGAGGCCGAGGTGGCGGCGGGCGCGGGCGCGGGCGCGGGCGGCGGCGCCACGGCCTGCAGGGTGGTGGCCGTGACCTCCGCGCGCCTCTGCGCGCGCTATCAACGCGGGGAGTGCCAGGCCTGCGACCAGCTGCACTTGTGTCGCCGTCACATGCTGGGCAAGTGCCCCCACCGCGACTGCTGGTGAGGCTGGAGATCTCAGTCCCCAGTGGGACGCTGGGTGCGGGCGGGACGCGCCCTCCGGATGCTGCTCGGCTAGCCGCGGGCGGGATGGGACAAAGACCTTCGGTGCAGACCGTTCTTAGGCTCCTTGTAGCAGAGAGGTGTGTCATGGACGGTCCTCTCCACTGAGGTTTATTAATCCCCCCCCCAAAAAAAAATAATTGCTAGCCCTACCCCAGCATGCTAGGATGCGCCACAACGCCAGCCAGGTTAAATCCCCTTGTTGTGACTTTCCAGTTCACTCTGGTCAAGGGCCGCATTGAGGGACATCTGAGGGCCCCATGGCCCTGGGACATTCTGTTCCTTCCCTTCCTCCTTCGGTAATCACAGCCTATTAGGGATTAAAAAGCTGGTCTAGTCCAACCTCAGGGAACTGGTGGCCGGATGGGGTTCAGGGCCTGGCGGCTACATAGCCCAAGTATCCTTCCCAAGCCCAGCTTTGCAGCAATCCGGGAGGGAGGCTTCTAGTTCTTATAGTGTTGTTGGACAATAGGAAATCAGCAGCTGTTGGTCTGAAGATCAAGTTTTAGTCCCTGCAAAACGGATGAGTACCCTGGGAAGGGCACCTACCCTTAGCTTTAGTTCTATGTGCTCACTGAACAGGAAATGACTCCTGGAAACAGAATTGCCACAAAACTAATTTTATAAGAACTTGGGGAATTCCCTTGGGGAAATGCCCGAAGGCAAAGAATTAGACCACCAGCCTCTTTCCGCCTTTTCACCCGGGCTTCCGACTGCTCTGAACTCTTCTAGGTCTACCTGCGCTCTGTCTCACGATATCCACACACCTATCAACATCCAGGTCATGAAAAACCGCGGGCTTTTTGGCCTCAATGAAGCGCAGCTTCGAATCCTCCTGCTGCAGAACGACCCCTGCCTTTTCCCAGAGGTGAGTCGCTGAGAGGCCAGGTCCTACCCACGACCGCGACCTCTCTTTATCACTGATCTTTTTCTTTTTTTCGAGGCAGGCTCTTTCTGTGTAGCTCTGGCTGTCCTGGAACTAGCTCAGCCTCCCTCTGCCTCCCAGTGCTGGGTGGGCCTAAAGGCGTGGTGCACCTGGCATCTCACTAATCTATGTTTGTTTTGTTAGTTGAGATAGGATCTTATGTAGCTCATTAGCTCAGGCTGGCAGTGAAATTTTTATTTAGCTAATCTTCTGTTAATTCACCTCCCAAGTGCTGTGATCTCAGGCAGCCACCTCCCATCACTACTTTGGATGTAATTTTAATGGCTTTGAAGCAGTATGATTTGGTTCTAGATACTTAAAATGTACCCCCTTTGATTGCTGTAATGGTAAAATTAGCATATTTGTGGGGGCTGGAGAAATAGCTCAGTGGTTAAGAGCACTGGCTGCTCTTCCAGAGGACTTGGGTTCAATTCCCAGAACCCACATGGCAGCTCACAACTGTCTCTATCTCCAGTTCCAGGGCATCAGACACCCTCACACAGACACACATGCAATGCACATGAAATAAAAATAAAAGTTTTGATGTTGTTGTTGGTTTTTGAGACAGGGTTTCTCTGTGTAACAACAGCTCTGACTGTCCTGGAGCTAGCTCTGAAGACCAGCCTGGCCTGGGACTCATAGTGATCCTCCTGCCAAGTTGTGGCATTAAAGGCATGTGCCACTACTACCCAGCCAAATTTTATAAAAATAATCTATCATAGACATTGCTGTCAGAGGCAGGAGGGGCAGACACATAGCTCCAGGATATCCCGTTCTATAGCATGAGGCATTCTCTCATCTTTGAGGAACCACAATTCAGATGTAATCAGATCCCTAGCTTCAGTGCAGAAAGAATTTTAGGGAGAGCTCACATGAAGTAGGGTATATTAATAAACTTTAAACAAAATGTGTTTGAAGGGAAGTGGTGGCACACGCCTTTAGTCCGGATACTTGGGAGGCAGAGGCAGGTAGATCTCTGAGTTCGAGGCCAGCCTGCTCTACAAAGCAAGTTCCAGGACAGTCAGGACCGCACCCCCCCCATAAAGAGCGAGAAGAATAAAAAGTAGGTGAGTGTGATGGTGCAAGCCTGTAACTCTCCAGAGGCTAAGGCAGGGCTAGGGTTGAGAGTTTAGGGCCAGCCTGGGCTACATAGCACGCTCTTGATACGTATCCCTCGCATTGCCTCGTATCTGCCCCAGGTCTGTTTGCTGTACAACAAAGGTGGCGATGTCCTTTATGGCTACTGCAACCTCAAGGACAGATGCAACAAGTTTCATGTATGCAAATCCTATGTCCGGGGTGAATGTACACTTCAGACCTGCAAACGGTCCCACAAGCTCGTCCAAGCCACCACCCTGAAGTTGCTGGAGGACCAAGAACTGAATGCTTCAAGTGTTGTGAACTTCCAGATAATCTGTATCTACAAACACACGAGGCTGCGCAAGATGCTTGAAGATGAAGGTAGGCAGAGAGCCGTGCGTGAGGAGGTGTGTGTGTGTGTGAGGAGGTGTGTGTGTGAGGTGTGTGTGTGAGGAGGTGTGTGTGTGTGTGAGGTGTGTGTGGGGAGGTGTGTGTGTGTGAGGAGGTGTGTGTGTGTGGGGAGGTGTGTGTGAGGTGTGTGTGTGAGGAGGTGTGTGTGTGTGAGGAGGTGTGTGTGTGTGTGTGAGGAGGTGTGTGTGTGTGTGAGGAGGTGTGTGTGTGTGAGGAGGTGTGTGTGTGTGAGGAGGTGTGTGTGTGTGTGAGGAGGTGTGTGTGTGAGGAGGTGTGTGTGTGAGGTGTGTGTGTGAGGAGGTGTGTGTGTGTGTGAGGAGGTGTGTGTGAGGTGTGTGTGAGGAGGTGTGTGTGTGTGAGGTGTGTGTGTGAGGAGGTGTGTGTGTGAGGTGTGTGTGTGTGAGGAGTGTGTGAGGAGGTGTGTGTGTGTGAGGTGTGTGTGTGTGTGAGGTGTGTGTGTGTGTGAGGAGGTGTGCGTGAGGAGGTGTGTGTGTGTGTGAGGTGTGTATGAGGAGGTGTGCGTGAGGAGGTGTGTGTGTGTGAGGAGGTGTGTGTGTGTGAGGAGGTGTGTGTGTGTGAGGTGTGTGTGTGAGGTGTGTGTGTGAGGAGGTGTGTGTGTGTGAGGAGGTGTGTGTGTGTGTGAGGAGGTGTGTGTGTGTGTGTGTGAGGAGGTGTGTGTGTGTGTGAGGAGGTGTGTGTGTGTGTGTGAGGAGGTGTGTGTGTGTGTGTGTGTGAGGTGTGTGTGAGGAGGTGTGTGTGTGTGAGGAGGTGTGTGTGTGTGAGGTGTGTGTGTGTGGGGAGGTGTGTGTGTGTGGGGAGGTGTGTGTGTGTGAGGGTGTGTGTGTGTGAGGAGGTGTGTGTGTGTGAGGAGGTGTGTGTGTGTGTGAGGAGGTGTGTGTGTGTGAGGTGTGTGTGTGTGGGGAGGTGTGTGTGTGTGAGGTGTGTGTGTGTGAGGAGGTGTGTGTGTGTGAGGAGGTGTGTGTGTGTGTGCTGAGGTTCTGCACTGTGCAGTAAGAGCAGCAATGATAGGTCTGGAAGTGAGGCTGGAGACAAAACTTTTCATTTGCTAATTAAGCCCTTTCCTTGGGGAGGTTAGGACTGTCAGCATTTTACTTTATTATTATAATTGTGTGTGTGTGCATGTGTGTGCACGTGTGTATGTGTGTGTGCCTGTGTGTGTGTGTATGTGTGTCTGTGCCTGTGTGTGTGTCTGTGTGCGTGCCTGTGTATGTGTGTGTACGTGTGCATGTGTGTCTGTGTGTGTGCCTGTGTGTGTGTGTGTGTGTGTATCTGTGTGTGTGTGTCTGTGTCTGTGTGTGTGCATGTATGTGTGTATGCATGTGTGTGTGTGTGTCTGTCTGTCTGTGTCTGTGTGTGTGTCTGTGTGTGTGTGTGTCTGTGTGTGTGTGTGTGTCCCAGAGAAGGCCAGAAGGGGGCATCAGATGCCTTTGCAGTCCGTCAACTGTGTAATGTAGGTTCTGCTCTCTGGTCCTGACTACAGCAGCAAGTGCTTTCAGCCACTGGGCCGTCTTTGTTGCCCCAGTTAACATTTATGTTATGGAAATACAATTCTAACCAAAGGAGAGGAGATTTTGCCAAGTTAGAAAACTTGCCCACATATTTGAACATGGTAGCTTCTGGACAAAATTTTTTTTTGGGGGGGAGGTCAAGAATTTAGTAGAATCATCTTAAGTGAGCTGGGAACATGGGAGGGAGATGGCCGGTGAAGAATAATGTCCATGTGGTTTTCTTTTGTCAACTCACTAAAGTTTTCCTATTTTCATTTTTAAGTAATTTTGAACCACACTACAGGCAACAGGCTAGAAATAAAGTTGCACGCCTCAGGAAAGGCTGAAGAGATGGCTGGGCTGTTTAGAGTCTTGTGGAGGACCCAGGTTCAGTTCCCAGCACCCACAAGGTGGCTCACAGCCTAACTCAGGCTCTGTGCAATCCGATGTCCTTTTCTGACTTCAACAGGCACTGCATGCGTGCACATACACATACACGCAGCACTTACATACACGCACGTACATACACGCAGCAAACACTCATACACGTTTTTTTTTCCCCCGAGGCAGGGTTTCTCTGTGGCTTTGGAAGCTGTCCTGGAACTAGCTCTTGTAGACCAGAGATCTGCCTGCCTCTGCCTCCCGAGTGCTGGGATTAAAGGCGTGTGCCACCACTGCGCGGCCTAAGGTGACGCTTAATGGGGAAAACATTTAAATGGGACCTTGCTTCCAGCTTCAGAGTCTTAGTCCGTTATCATTGCAAGGAGCTTGGTGGCAGGAGCAGCAGGCGGGTGCTGGAGAGGTGGCAGAGAGCTGTGTCCTGATCCACAGGCAGAGAGCGAGAGGGAGAGGGAGCGAGAGAGAGGGAGAGAGAGAGGGAGAGAGGGAGAGAGGGGGAGGCTGGGCCTGGCATGGACTCTTGAAACCTCAAAGCCCAACCCCAGGGACACACATCCTCCAACATGACCACACTTCTTAATCCTTCTAATTTTATCCAAGATCAAATATAGGAGCTCAGGGGGGCCATTCTTACTCAAGCATCCTGAAGTTGCACGGGGATCCACTTTGTTGTAACTCTGCGAGCAAGTGCTGATCTGGGTGTGGGCAAAATGGCATTAGCTTACTATTTTTTTTTTTTCAACAAATTTAATATCAGAAATATTCGCCACTCTGTTTATTTTCATGTTTATTTATTCATTTCTCAATTGTTTTGCTCCGGTCTACCCCATTCCCTCCCATGTTGATCTCAACATGAAATGAAAACAGAAAACTCATCTCTCTTTTTCCTTTCAGACAGCTCGGCTTCTGCTGAGCACTCAGGAGTCATCGAGAAGCAAGGGGCCCCTGGGGCTGGGCCCACAGAAGCCAGGCCTCTGGCTCCCGCCCCTGCTCAATCCCCCAGGAAGCCCAGTAAACCTTGAAGAAGCAGCTTGTCCGTTTGGGAGGATCAGAAGCAAGGCTTCGGCTGAGCTGGAGTTGGTAGCCTTTTTTTCTTCCCTTACTGAATAACATTGGCAGCTTTAATACCTATCTCATCCCTGATTTCGCGAACCCAGGGTGGAAATAAAAATACACTTGTGGGTGAGATTGGATCTGGTGCCGGCAAAGGGTAAAATCCTGAGCGCGGGGATCAGTCCAGGGCAAATCCTGAAGGTGTATCCTGTGTCTTCAGTTCCTGGGTGCCTTTCCCGCCACGGGATGGAGGGCAGGTTCTTGCTGCCTTCTGTGTCCGCAGGCATTTTCTAGACCCCGTTCTCACAGCTTACATTGGATATCACAGAGTTTGCACACTCTGCGTATTACTTGTTACTTGGGTTTACACATAGTCCCTTTTGCACAGAATTGTTTATATAGTTTAGTTGTCTACCTTATTTTGGAATATCTGATTTTGTGTCGGGTGTATTTGTGTCTCATTTTATACTGAGTTTAAAAGCATTCCATACCTTTGCTTGACTTGTAGGTGCTGAACGATGCTATCTTTTGATCCACGTTTCTTTAAATGTCTGTGTAGATGAGCAGTCTCCTCTGACCCTGCTTCATGTGTGTCTAGATTTTGTGAATTTCCCATGCTGCAGTTTGTTGCTGGGGCCCTCTGTGCCATCATCCATTCTGTGTTCATGATATTCAACTTTATGGGTCCATCTTCAGTCAGTATCACAGCTAACAATCTACCTCATCCAGTCACTTCTCACCGCTTACCGAGCCTTCCAGAGCTCTCACCGCTTACCGAGCCTTCCAGAGCTCAGCTGCTGTATCTTGAAGGATGCGTAGTTCACTCCTTCCTCCTATCTGTGTCTTCTGTGGAAGGGGACAGACCATCCTGCCTTCCTCCAGCCCCTCTGTTCCCTCTCATTGTACCGTTTTCATCATGGGATTTGCAGATATCTGTTGTGATCATGTTCTTCAGTGTCGTTGTGTGAAGAGAAGGGTTTCCGTAATGACATTTCCGTAATATGACATTTGAAAACTAGCGGCAATTCAGTGAGTTCTCATAAAGTCAAACTTACCTTATTAGAGAGACTTTTATCATGAGGCCAGAGAGAGGAGACTTGTAAAAATGTCCTTTCCAAGCGAGAACCCAGGTCCCTCCTAATGGACAGTAAACTCATAACTTAGGTCTCTCCGGTTTGGTTGTCAATGACAATACTTCTCAAATTGTGTTTTACATTCTTTCTTTCTTTTTAAATTTCTAATTGTGACTTTTTTCCTAGTGATATTTGTTGTGTATGTGTGCTAGGATCAAACCCAGAGTCTTGCCCATGTGAGGCATTAAAAAAAAAAAAAAAAGGTCCGCCATGGTAGTATTTGCCTTTAGTCCCAGCACTATGGAGGTAGAGGCAGGCAAGTTTGTCTGAGTTCAAGGCTACCCTGATCTACATAGTGAGTTCCAGGCTAGCCAGAGCTACATAGTGAGGCCCTGTCTGAAGAAGAAATTGCATTTATTATCATTACTGTTCATACTTTGTCATTCTCTTATATATTTGTTGTCAGCCATCCTAAGTCCTTAATGGGATGGCGTAGCTCAGTGCACGCCCTTTACATAGATAGACATGGTGGACATGTATGGTACCGTTTTCTTGCATGTATCACCGTTGTGCTCCCATATGTGATGGTTATTGGTCTGTAACCATTGTTGGGACGTTTTATTCAAGCCTATAATATTTCATTTTAATTTTAGTTCTCTCGGAATTTAGTCTACAAAATTATCTTTTTGTGTGGGTGAAAATGATCTTCAGTATTTGTTACCACGTCTGGTGCTTACCCCATGACAGGCGAATGAAGTAAAGGGACGCGGTACCGAGGCAAGGGGGGGATTTATTTAAAAGTCCCCTTAGAAAGGGGAGATGCGGGTGGCTACAGGGCCTGTCATGCTGGGGGGCTAATTTGGGGTCTCTGTCACGTGCATGGGCCAGATCAAAGGCCCCACGAAATACTCTCTTCTTATTTCTCAGAGGCTTGATAGCTTGATATGACTCTCTCTCTTAATGTAGCTTTATTTTAATCACGTACATAATTGAGTGCATTAAATGTTTTTATAATATTAAAACATCTTTAAATTCTTGTGATAAACTCTGCCTGATTATCGAATATATTCTTCTATTTGCTAAGCATTCATTTTTCTATTTGCTAAGCATCGGCTCATTCATAAATAAAACTCATGTATATTTTGTGGCATATATAGTGACTTTCTTTTTAATTTTATTGGTATATGGTCAAAGTATAAATTTTATTTTAAGTAACATTTAGAGCTTATGTAAATTGCTTCATGATTTACTTACTTATTTGTCTCTTTTATTCAGGGCCTCACTCTGTAGCCCAGGGTCGCCTGAAGTTTCCTGACTCAAATTCTCAGGTGCTGGGATTACAGGTATAAGCCATCACTCCTGGCTCCATTTTCATTTTAAAATTTATTTAATTTTTGCCGGCCTCACACCTCTAATCCCAGCACTCAGGAAGTAGAGGCAGGTGGACCTCTGTGAAATGAGGCCAACCTGGTCTACAGAGTGAGTTCCGGGACAGCTAGGGCTGCAAGACAGAGAAACCCTGTCTGGAAAAGCCAAAAAAAGCGAATAATTTTTACTGTGTGTGTACGAGTAGTTTCATGAGTTTATGTGCCCCACCTACATGTAGGTGACCACAGAGACTGGAAGGGGACACTGGGTCCTCTGGACCTGGAGTTACAGATGGTTGTGAGCCACTGTGTGTGTGCTGGGAGCCACCCTGAGTTCTGTACAAGAGGGGCAAGGGCTCTTAACTATTGAGCCATCTCTGCAGGGATCAAAGGTGTGGCCTTTGGAATCGGATTAGATCTGAGGGCTCTGACCTCCTAAATGCATCCATACATCTATGGATTCAAAGTGTCATGGGCTATTGGGAGACGGTGGGAGCCGAGAATTGGGACACAGTTGGAGGGCATACCCTTGAAGGTCATATTGTGTTCCGTCTTCCTTCCTCCCATAGGTGTGGAAAGTGCCTGTCTCTGGTCTCTCTGAAGGGCACTGTTAGCATATTCTCATGAAAGACATAGTACGTTCTGTTTCCTACATAGTTGTTCAGGGTGACGTATGTCACATATAGTATAGTACAATATGTTATTGTATATGAAATGTATTATTCTTCTACTGTAATTTTGCTTTCTTTCTGCAAAAGCCAATGAAGTGTTTACATGTTGAAAAAGTTACACTGAGCCTTTGATCCCAGCGCTTGGGAGGCAGAGGCAGGAGGATCTTTGTGAGTTTGAGGCCAGCCTGGTCTACATAGTCAGTTCCAGTACAGCCTGGATTACATAATGAGAACCGGTGTCAAACCAAGTTAGAACTCAGCTTCTGGGAACTAGCTTCTGAGTGTGCGTGAGAACTTGAAAAAATGAAGGATGGGAGCACTCTCTTGGGTGTGTCTCTGCCCAGCTGGCGCTTGCAAAGCAATGCGTGTATGTGCATACACACACACACACACACACACACACACACACACGTATATGTATGCAAATATATTATGTATGCATATGCATACACACACATATTTGGTTGTTTTGAGACAAAGTCTCAAGTAGCCCAGGTTGGCCTCGAACTCACTATACAGCTAAGGATGACTTTGAACTTACGATCCTCTTTCTTATACTGCCAAAGCTCTAAAATTGCAGGATGTACTGGGATTATATGCATGCATCAGCATGCCCAGGTGTGCAGTGCTGGGGATCAAACCCACAGCTTTGTGCATACCCTGCAAACACTCGGCCAATTTAGCTGCATCTGGGCAAATATTGAAGAAACTTTTGGATTAATGTCTAATTAATTACTCATGTGAAGTTATATTTTATTTATTCCATTTTTATTGAGATAGGGTCTTGTTATGCTGCTCAGGCTGTTTTCAAACTCTCATAGTCAAAAGGACCTCATGTATCAGTCACTACAAGTGTGTGCCACGGTAGCAGTAGCAAAGATATTTAAATCCATCGATTAATCAGTCGACTAAATCATGCACTTCCTCCTCCTTGATTTACTTTGCATGGGAAGTTTTGTGTGACTGATCATACATTCACCCTATAAAGGCAGTGTTTGCTGGGCACCTGTAATGTTAGCACTTGGGAGGTAGAGTCAGGAATGTCAGGAGTTGAGGATGACCTGAGCTACATGAAACCCTGTCCCAAAGAATGGAAAGAAAATAATAAAGGTAATATCTTATTTCCGTCTTGCCTGACATGTGCTCACTCTCCAGTGTGTATCTACAAGATGAATTTCTGACCAATGGAGAGGGACCAGCCAGGTGTAGCACACATGTCAGGATGGGGTGGGAAGGGAGAAAAGTATCTGTCAACTTGGATTGGCTCTACCTTCTTTCAAGGTGGAGATGCCTCGCATAAAAATCTTCCTTTGGCTCATAGGCTTTTGCATATGCAGAGATAAACAAGCCAGGAAAAATGGATGATCCTACCTTTCTTTGTTGGATCATGGTGCCCCACCAGTCTGTGTAGGATGCTTAAATCTTGCCTTCTGGAACTATAGTGAGCTCTCTCTCTCTCTCTCTCTCTCTCTCTCTGTGTGTGTGTGTCTCTCTGTGTGTGTGTGTGTGTGTCTGTCTCCTAAACAAACACGGCCTCGCAGAGCAACCTGACTGAGCAATATCCCCAGCCCCAATGTTTTCTTTCTCAATACTAGGATTTTGACTCAGAGCCTTTTGAGTGTTACACACACACTCTACCACTCAGCTACACCCTTAGGCCGCTGGCTTCTCCTTTAAAGTTCTTTACTAGCATACATTTATTGTATATGATACTGAGCTCCACTATGCCTTTTTCATATATAAAGCAGTTAGATCATAGTCATCCCCACCACCTTCTTTTCTTAAAGATTTTCTATTTTTATTTTTATATGCATTTGGTGTTTTGCCTGCAGGTATGTGAAGGTGCCAGATCCCCTGGAACTGGAGTTATGAGCTGCCGTGTGGGTGCTGGGAATCGGAGACCAGGTACTCTGGAAGAGCAGTCAGTGCTCTTAACTGCTGAGCCGTCTCGCCAGCCCC